AGCGCTGCCTCCGGTGCCCCGGCCGCGCCGCTCGCACGGTTCAATCAGTGCCGGCGGGCCGGGCAGCCGCTCTTGAGTCGCTGCCGGGCCGAGCTGATTGCTCGTCCGAGTGGCTCGGACGCCACTAATTGCTCGCAGGCCGCCGGCGAGTCCGTCCGTGCTCCGATATATAGGTTCGGGCAGTCCCTCTCCGACCGTATGCTCTAATACTGGCAGAGTGGTCGGGCTGTCTCTCTCCGTCCTTGTGCTGCGATATACATAGATGAAGCGACCAGGCTCACAAATGATGAGCTGACGCCACTCGCCAGGTAAGCTGGTATGGTCATTCATGCTCCACATACCTACATTCGGTGGCCGGAGTATAATAACTATCCCTCGTCAGCTTTTGCAATACATGACACAGCTCGTAGGTAGTAGGTATGGCTATCTGTCAATACCACTACCAGGCACAAAGCTTATGCCAAGTATGAAAAAGATCGCTATGTTTAGCCCTGGGAAGTACTCTATCATCACTATACAGAGACGAGGCGAGCTCATTTCACCAGTAACGAAGACATCAAAAGGAGGCCCTTTACCTATGACACTATACATACGGCTGTCTGCCCACGGATGAAAGTTTTTGCCATTACGAGCCTTATCTTAGTAAAATAATCTCTCGCATTCAACTCGCATTGATAGGGTAGCGCACCAGCCACTGCCGCACACCATTAATTTAGAAACAGGTGCCCGCCGTTAGCGCACGCAGCGTCACGAATCACGACACAGCACGTCTGCTTCCGTGGCCAATCCCGTCTGAAATTAGCCAACGCCCCAACACACACGCTATTGCGCCGTTCAGCTTTCCACGCCCTTTTTAAGCAACCGCTAGTCAACAATTTGCAGCTCATGTCACGATAGTCGATAGTCTATGGAATGATGCTGAAACGGCAGATAAGCCTACCACTGACTTGATTCATTGTAGGATTGACAGCAGAAGCACTTTAGAATAAGGAATGGATCTATGAAGAGCTGCAGCACGGGGTTCGTAAATCGACTAAGGCAGTCGTGAGTCGTTAATCGTGAGTCGGCTATGTCGTGAATCCACCAAAACTCGGGAGACGGCTGATGAGGTAGTTATTAGACAGTCGACAGCTATTCCCGAGGATGTGAGACGGTCATAAGCACTGTTACAACGGGGTCGGAACAATCGGCCAGAGACTTTCTGGCGCCGTGAGTCGTTGTGACGTCGTGAGACTGTCTGATACCCTGCGTCTTCTGGGGCTCTTTGAATCTGGGGTCGTGGTTCTGTTTGGTACCGTGAGTCTGGGGCATGGGTCTGTCTGGGGCAAGCATGAGTATGTCTGAGGTCATCGGTCCTGAGCCGTGAGTCTGTCTCCTGAGTCTGTCTGGGGCGATGTGACTCTGAGGCAATGGGTCTGTTTGGGGTCGTGAGTCAGTCTGGGACTGTGAGTCTGTGTGGCCCAATCAGTCTGTATGGGGTCGCGAGTCGGTCTCGTGAGTCGGTCTGGCGCAGTAGGTCTATTGGAGTCGATAGTCTGTCTGGCCCAGTCTGTTTGGTATCGTGTGACTGATGCCTAAGTATTTCTGGCGCTGCGAATCTGCCTGGCGCTGTGAGTTTGTCTGGGGCCGTGAGTCGGTCTGGCATTGTGGGTCGTTCTGGAGCCGTGAGTAGTCCCAAGCTGTGACCGCGGAGACTTGAGCCGGTCATTCACTTTGGAGTAAAGCCATGGCTCGAGTCGATTGACAGATCTACCCATACTCACTCGTAGATCGTGAGTCGGTCAACAAATCTTCTAGAGGCGATAGGTTAGTTTGCATAATCCAGCAGCTTTTAACAGCTCATCGTTGTACCGGTTTGTTAGTCGGCGGCTGGTTTGGCTGGTAACCGGTGGTCCCAATCACATCGCACCATTTTCGCCGTCCCTCCTCCGCGCGCGGTATCACCACACACAGCCCAGGTGGTGTATATCGGGAAGTATCTGCGTTCGCCCCCCCCCCCCCCCCCCCACCGTTGCTCCGTCGCCCCACAACCATTACTTCCGAGTGAGCGGCGGTGTTTAAACAAACACTGCTCGGCTCTTGCAGCCACTCCCGCCGGGCCGACACATGAGCTGCGCTGGGGCTTCGTCCTCCCTTTGGCGCGTTCTAACCGTTTTAGCAAAGATATTTTAGCCGGGGCTATCGCATAAGCCTGTGACAGTAGGTCGAGGCTGGGGGAGTCCTACATCCCCTCACATCCCAGAAAGTGTACAATACGAGTACACAGTTAGATCGGTTGGGACAGCCCCATAACCCGACTGCTAGCTCAGCCGATACCCTCCCGTGACCCCGGTACTACATACAACTGAGGGAAATTCGATACCTAAACGTTATCATGAAATGTAACTTGATTACTGCCGGTTTAGCTAACGATCATTAACGAACTACAATTTTAATTGGTAAGAATTCCTTGTTCCATTATTACACTTCTTAAACTGATCCCCTTCAGTTGCAGCGCAGCTTATAACGGTTTATCTATAACTTCCGCGGTACTCCAGAACATATCGTTCGAATCTTTACGAGTCTCGCCCTTCGGGTTATTTAACCCGCGCCCGGCTGGGGGTCCTGGATTTCCACGCCCTGCTGGGGGGGGGTGTTTGAACACCCCCCCCTTCTAACTCGGCTCCTAGGCCACGTAGCGATACGCGGAAGGCGGCGTTCGAAAGAGCGTCAAAAATAATGAGGAAATCACTTCGGTCAATTTTTTGGTCAGGTCAAAGGTCAGGTCACCAGAGGTCATTGAAGGCAAAATTTCGCCGATTTCCAGGTCGAATGTCGACAATTTCAAAGAAGCCAGCGCAGAACTCGGGAACCAATAGAGCTACAGCGCCGCGGAAAAGCGCATTCGATAGCCCTATTAACGCCCTTTCTGAGTAATTCTCTCAGATTTGACCTAACGTCAACGGTTTTGCCTGCAGGGGGCAAAAACTGCAAAAATAGCCGATTTTTTCGGAAACAGTTTTTCTGCAATAACTTTTGACCCAAGCCTTGTACGAGCTTACTTTTACCAGCATCGTGTTCCTCTCGTCAAGACGCATCGAATGAACTATAACTTGACCTTGAAAGGTCAACTTGAAAATTTGACCTCAGGTCAAGGTCATGACCTGACCGGAGAGGGTCATGTTGCATATCAGTCGATCCGTATCGTCGAGCTGAACACATCTAAGGCGTTTTCATCGCTCTAGCATGCCTCTATCAACAGTTATTTGCGAAAAACTGTTAGATACCATTCGTGACCTAAGATGACCTCAGGGCATAAACAGGGGTCACGGACACCATTTCCATGTTCAGTGTGTCTAAACCACTTGTAATTCAGTGTTTGGGAGTGTTTATAATGTCTTTCGTCCAAAAGAGGCGCATTTCAATTTTCTCCCATTGACTTATAATGGGGAGGTCGCAAAATTGACCTGACCTTAGGTCATCGGTATCAAAATTCTGAGATATACATTTTGTACATGCTATTGCTCTTAGCAATCGCTGAAAGTGTCAAAGCGATCGGTCACTCGGTGTAGCTATGACAGACATTGAAACTTTTTATGAGGTGAGGTCACTTCAAGTGACCTGGTGACCTGACCTTGAATGACCTTGGTCTGAAATTTTCACAACATGTGTAGAATTGATGTATGATAAGGTGTACCAAAAACGGCGGCGCTCCGCGCCGCCGTTTTTGAGATATTCGCGAAAAACCACAAGGGGGGGGTGTTCAAACACACCCCCCCCCCAGCAGGGCGCGGGTTAAAGGAATAACCCGCGGTCAATGGTTACAAAAACGTAGAACACCAAACAAAGGTCGAGGGAGGTGAGCGGCGGGAGAGGCTGGGCCAAACCGACCGGACGCAGCTTGTCCCGTTCATCATAATTCTGTTAAATGCCCCAGCGTCCCGATCAGGTTACGGGGGGGCCGGTTCAGGGACAAGAGTCGGGTCGGAGCATCGAGTCAGGTTTCCGACCAATGTGGTCAGGGAACAAAACAACGTGCACAATAAAAACCCTGACTATAATCAAAAACACTTGTTATCCGTAAACGGATTTGCGAGTCGGTTGACATTACCGACAAGTTATTTGCAAGTGATATCAAGTTACACGGTGTCCGATGATAATAACAGCGACTTAACTAGAGCGACTCGAGTCTCAGTACTCACCGTTCGTTGATCGTACGCAGGTCAGCAGCAGCAGAAGCAGCGGCGGCCCTAGCACGGACAGCTGGGGCAGCGGCCGACCCCGTCCCGGCGCCATCCTCCCCCTCCGGCACCTCAGCCGGCGGCGATCCGCGCGGCACTGCTGCCGGCGGACCGGCCGGCCCGACCCGCCGAGTCGCCCGCCCGCGCACCGTCCGGCGCCGCCACCGACGAACAGCGAACGCCGCATCAATTCGAGCACAGATCGCCGCGGCATTTAGCATACTAAGTGAGACCGGCTTTGCGCGTGTCAACATCTGTAAAGCTCCATTTATAAGTCAGCCGAGAAGTCGAAGATGAACTTAAATCGCTGCTGAAACTTTAGCATGCTCGATCGCGATGCGATTCATCCTAACACAGAAGAGTGTGATGGGTTTCTGAAGACTTTGGTTAAGGCTCATTTCTGGAACCGCCTACGGCGAAGGTGTGCTAATTCCTATCGTTATTTAAAAACAAAACTCTTGGCAAATAGTTACGCCGAGTGCTCTTTGGCCGTAATCTCACTTTTCAGAAAAGAAAGCACTCAGTAATGCCTCGCATCATCAACAACATACACACAATATCAAACTACCCAGCTGCACAATCAACAATCCACAAATAGCACGTTTCCAATTTAACCTTCGGTGTACGACTCCCCCAGCTCCCCTAGTCAGCGAAAATTGCTTCAGTTCAGTGTTCGCCACGGCCCGAGAGTGAAACTACGAATTGGCAAGACAAACTTCAGAGCTCCCATGTCGAGACTGAACGCTCAGTTTTATGTACGCTCCCAGGCAAACACAATTATTATACATGGAACCTTTATTATGGACAGGACAATTCACGTACAAAAGACTGTCTTAAGCACTACAGCCTAGAGGTCAGACAGACGACTGGTGTGAGGCCAGCCTGCCGCTGGTTTTATGTGAGCGCAACGCAAACTGAATGTCCCCACTGGCGGGTCTCCCACCCACGGGGCGGAGCTGCGCCCGTTCCCGACGCCCCGACACACTACCTCGGCTCAGTACCGACTGAGACCGTTCCCTCCACGGGACCAGCTCTGATCCTCTCCACAGAGAGCCGCCGCAGTGCCCGGAGCGAGGTAGCGGCGGCGCCGACAGGTCACCTGGTCGGTCAGCTAGTCACTGTTTGTACTGCCACTGCACACCGGGCGGCGACCGTCAGACCAGGAGCGTCACACATCACCGAGCGGACACCGGGTGGTAGCCCGTGCCCGCGCCGGCCGCGCATTGAACTACACGGCGCCGAGCTGACGGCCCGGACAGGGTGCAGGCGAGCGCCCTCACGCCCCCGGTTCGTCGCCGGTGGCTGGCGGAGGAGATCCGACCACGGCATCACTGCCGCACAGACTGTCATCCAGACTCATGTTAGATGAGTCGAGACTGACGTCCTCGCTTTGTTCTGTGGTGTCAGCCGCAGGTGGAGGTGAGCCCTCGGCTGGCTGGTCTGCTGGTGTCACGGTCGACGGGTCTGAGGGGTTTACTGGCTGGTCTGAGAGATCGGATGGCTGGTCTGAAAGGTCTGTCGTCGGGTCTGCCGCGACGGCCGGCTGGTCTGATGGAATGAACGGTGTGTCTGTCGACGAGCAACTCTGGTCTGGGGATTCTGAAGGTTCGTCTGAGGTTTTAACAGAACTCTCCGCGGGATTCACGGACTGCTCTATGGTCACTGAAGGCTGCTCTGAGGTCGGGGAGGTCTCACTGGGAGGGTTCGTCTGCTCGGCGGCCGCTGGTGCGTCTATCACCTGGACCGGTACCTCAGCCGGCTGGGACGGCGGGTCAGACGGCTCGGGAGGCCGGTCCGACTGGTCACCGGGCTGGCCGGAGACGCTGGGTGTCTTCTCCGCGGGGTCGGAGCCTTCCCCCGCGCCAGAGAGCTCGGCGTCCCCGCTGCTGATATCACCAGTTGCCGACACGGACTCCGTCGGCACCTCCGTCTGCACAAAACAACGAGCGAAATCAAACATCGCAAACCATAAAACATTGTAACACCGTAAAAATACTAACACCGTAACGCACACCGTAAAAAGGTAACATTGTCTCATATTTACCAAGTTCTCAACTCTCTTTATCCAACTTATTTTCCTTGGTTCTATTTTTAGATTTCTTTGAGCTATTCAATGCTTCATAACCGATTCCTTTGTCGGTCACCGGTAAAGAAGACGGGTGATTGAATGCAGGCGAAAATGGTGTTATGAACGGAATGCGGATTGAGAAGCCTTCCCCAATAACCTCTATTGACGGCGAGAGTTCACGCTCGGCAGATATTCCATAACATAGACGGCTGGGATGGGCTTCATACGAACCCGGTACTTGACTTTCAGATACGGATATACCGGCCACTGCATCGTGGAAGACTGGAAGGAATCTACGCATGTATTTATCGAATTATCTTATGGCAAACATGACCGGGGACAGTCGAACTTACAGGTGAAGTCACATCAAAAAACATCTCAAAATTGGTAAATTCTGGTAAGAAACGACAATGAGATTAAAATAATTTTAAGTTCTCACCACCTTTCCACTCTCCCGTATAAGGTCTGAGACATTACACTGAAATGAAGAAGACACAGATAAATCATGAGTAATGATCAGTGAGCATTGCATCCTTATCTGATTCTTTTTTTTCAAATGCTCTGGCTATTATCATAAGACGGTTGATGAATAAGACATCCAAAATCACAATGTTAAAAAAATGGATGCAGTGTATTCGCGGATTTCATCCCCTTAGTTTTAAGTGCCTTATCTGACTGGCAATTTCACACTCATTCCCTTTTCCTCTCTGACATCCATGTCAAAGTGCGACTTTGGGACACTACACCATCAAAGGTATTATGTGCACTGTGCAGCATAGACTGCTACTGCAAGCTTCACAGCGACATAAGACGGACCACATTATTTTCCAGGCCCGCGCCAGCAGGCCACAACGCTGTCGGCTAGGTTACATTACACCGATAAGTGAAGCTAATTGAAAGCAAATATCGTGAAGCACATGACCCCACCAGTGGGTGTCGAAGGCTTTGCTGACAAAACTCTCGACAGCCGGCCGCACACCGTGGCCTGAGGCTATGGCCCGTACTTACCCGCAGTTCGACGGGAGTGGCGCCATCTGACAGGACGGCCTCCTCGACCGCCGGACCCACCTCCATAGGTGTGGGGCCGGCATCTGAAACACGCAAAATGCCGCCAGTCAGACAACAGGCATCAGCGACCGGTGTGAGCTGACTGATTACTGAATAGTGGATAGTGACTTATAACTGCACAAGCCATCCATTGATCGAATCACACAGTGTCGAGGACGGTGCGAGGGTACGTGTAATTACACAACCCCTCCAGAGACAGCAGCACCGCAGCAGTCCCGCTAAAGGAGCAGTGTAAGGCCAGCCCTGTGACTACACTACACTGACCTCCAAGCTCTCCTATATTGATGACAGCATATCAATTACCTGTCACCCCATACCGGTCACTGTTATATGGCTCCTGTGTCTGTGTCAATATCAGTCCTCACCTGTATCAGTATCGACGTCTGCCTCCGCCGCCGTCTCGTCAGCCGACCCGTGTCCCTGCTCGGGCTCGGGCGGCCGTCCCGCTGCCGAGGTGGACGGCGCGCCGCGACTGACACCCTCCGACCCCGCAGCCTCGTCCTCCTCCTCCTCCGGGCCGGCGGCGCCGTTCACAGCCTCCGGAGGCGGCCGGCGTCTGGAGTAGAGCGGAGGGGACACAGGTTACAGGGGGCCAGTATAAACACAGCGCCGTTCACTGCCTCCAGCGGAGGCCGGCGTCTGGAGTAGAGCGGAAGGAGACACGAGTCACACACACACACAGCGGCCAGCGGCGGCCCGCATTTGGGGTAGAGCGGAGGGAGACACAAGTTACATATAGCGGCGAGCGTTTGGAGTAGAGCGGAGAGAGACACAAGTCACACACACAGCGGCGGCCCGCATTTGGGGTAGAGCAGAGGGAGACAGGCGACACACACAGTGGCCGGCGTCTGGAGTAAAGCGGAGGGAGACTAAGGTCACACACAGCGGCCGAAGACGGCCGGCGTCTGGAGTGGAGCGGCGAGACGCAGAGGTCAAGGGCGTCGGTATACACACAGGATACGTCACAAGAACGCATAAGAGGGATGAGAGACACAGATCAACCGTTACGGAAAATCTCTCAGCACAAAGGCGTCACAGAATGCGTCACAGAATGCGCATACACAAACAGCGATGACAGGGCAGACCTCACAGAACAGCAGAAGTAATGGAGAAGCAGACCACAAGGTGTACTTTCACACACAACAGCGGAAGGTCCAGGTCACGGGGTGTCCGAAGACGTCTCAACGCTGACTGTGTGAGGCCCGGCCCGGACCACACACCATCAAAGTCACTTCCCCAGTCAGCATCGCTACGCTAGTATCGCAGTCAGCTGATGCATGATAAGGTAACTCCCGCGCATTCAGCGTTCATAATGCACGATAATCGCTTCAAGAGCCGATATTGGGGATACCGGACATTAGTCAGACTGCATAACGATGAGAAGCCAGGACGTGAAATCGAACCGAAGTTCGACTTTGTCAGCATTGGTCAGCACTTTCATGTTGGCATCAGAGTGCTGTTCAAGGGCACCTGCGGTAGCTGCGGCTCGGCGGTCAGCCGGGTAATGACGTCACAGATAGTGGGGATGGGGCGGGTGGTGTGACGTCATACGGCTGCGGCCGGCTGCGGTCGCCTGCGTCTCCTGCGGTCGAAACGATCCGACCGCAGCGGCCGCAGGAACCATTTGTCATACAAAGTGGCGCGGCAGTTGCGCATTCGTGTTACTTGGGCGCAAAAGTGACACAGCCGCCGCAGACGAACGCGTGATGACGTATACACAAGTGGGCGTGACTTACAGCCTGCGATCTACCGCAGCTACCGCAGTCACCGCAGGTGCCCGTGAACAGCACTCAGGTGCAATATCAATGGTGCACACTGCACAGCTCCACCGACTTTCAGTGCCAGGTAGCCCTTGTGATAAGCTAGCAGCAGCGGTTTAGAGTCGAGGTGTGTGTTGTTGGAGCTTTTGGGTGGGCGCTAGAACACAGGTAGGCTATCAAGCGCCCTGGCGGTTTAGATGCAATGGCTAGCGACTGAAGGGATTTGGTGCAGTCGTCTGCTGTTTACGTTACGTGCCAGCCCATCTGGCAGCCCTGCTGTTGACCTCAGCACACGTTCGTAAGGTCGCCGCTAGGTGGCTCCCGAGTGGCGCCACCTCCCACCCGCCATGTTCGACAATACACTCCTCACTGAGACGCCGGCGTGTTCGCAACATGGCGCCGCCTGCAGAGTCGCCCGCCGGGGACCGCCCTCCAATGGCTTGGCTCGGGAGAGCCACTCAGCCTGAGCGTTTGGACTTCGAGCAAGATCGCCTAGTTTCCTTCCGCGCCTGGAAATTGAGGTGGGACGATTTCTTTTTGTTGTCTGGACTTGATCAGTGCGACAAAAATGTCCAAATGGCTGCACTTCGCTCTTGTCTCAGTGACGACGTCATTAAGATCGTGAGTCAGTTCAGCTTGACTGAGGCCGAACGTAACAACATTCATCGTGTACTTAAACTGTTGGAGGAGTATGCCAAGGGGCAGGTTAACGAAGTTTTGGAACGAAGGAGATTTAATCAAAGAGTGCAGCAGCCGGGTGAACTGTTTGATGATTTTCTCACGAGTCTGAAGGACCTGGCAAGCAGTTGTGGATTTTGTGATGACTGTCGGGATTCGCTAATTCGTGACCGTGTTGTAGTAGGACTGCGAGACGCGGCCACCATCCAGAGGCTGTGCGCCGTCCCGAAGCTGACGCTGCAAGATGCCGTCACCACCTGCAGAGCGGAGGAAGCCGCGGTGAGAGATGCTTCAGAGATCGTTGGAAGCCAGGTTAGTGCCTTCCAGGTACGTGACTCTGACGGAGGCAAGTGTGATCGGTGTGGGCGTCCCAACCACAGGAAGGGCTCAAAATGTCCAGCTCAGGGCCAGACATGCAGAGCTTGTGGGGGTAAGAACCACTTCGCTGTCACATGTATCAGACCTACGCCGCACAGGGCTAAGCCAGGCAAGAAAACCAACGTCATGTCCACAGTGATATCCAGCAACAGCACCCGTGGGCACGCACCCCGCATAGATGTCCTAGTGGAGGGTCCAAAGTTCGCCGTGGTAAACGCCCTGCCCGACACGGGAGCAGAATATATAACGGTCGCTGGGACAGCACTTCTGGGGGAGATCGGCGCTAAGGTGTCTGATTTGAAGGCGCCACAGGACCACCCGAAGTTAGCTAACGGTCAGCCAGCACAATCTATCGGCTCGTTGCCGATCAGGATCACTCTCGATGGAGTAGCAGTTGATGATGATGTCCACATTGTTGATGGTGTGTGTGGATTGCTGCTCTCCTGGCGTGTGGTAAAGGATCTTGGCATTGTGCCAAAGTCCTACCCCAGGCCACAGAGATCTGTCATGCCGTCTGTCAAGCCACCGGTGCCCCCCAAACCTGTCGTGCCTGCCGTGCGTACGGGGCGAGCGCCCCCTGGTGGGGGATCTGACAGTGCCGTACCTCCAGCCAGGTGTGCGCACGGAGGTGACCCGCAGTATGACGTCACCAGCGCAGCCCCCGACACGACGCAGAGCAGCAGCAGCCTGCCAGCTGAGGGGACACCTGCAGTCGGAGCTCCACAACCGCGTCCGGACGCCTTCATGCAGTCTGCTGCGGCTGAGCGCCAGCGTCTGGTCGACGAGTTTCCTGAGGTATTCGACGGGAAGGTCAAGCCGCTCCCAGGTGAGAAGTTTCACATCTCTCTGACCGACGACGCTAAGCCGTTTTGCGTATCGGCGCCCAGGAGGGTCCCCTTGCCGCTCAAAGAGAAACTAAAGGCCGAGCTAGATAAACTCGAGAGTAACGGCGTGATTCAGAAAGTGACTGAGCCCACTGAATGGTGCGCGCCCATAGTTGTAACGCCCAAGAAAAACACTGAAGATGTCAGGATGTGCGTGGATCTCTCATTCTTGAACAGATATGTCCGTCGCGAGAGATATCAGCTGTCCACGCCCGCTGAGTGCGTGGCGACGATCACCCAGTCTCAGGCGGGAGTATTCACGACTATCGACGCCCTGAAAGGTTATCATCAGTGCGAGTTGGACGCTGAGAGTCAGCTGCTGACAACTTTCATAACCCCGTTCGGGCGCTATATGTTTCTGAGAGCGCCGTACGGCATCAGTAGCATATCAGAGCATTATGACCGCCGCATGTTCGAGTGTCTTGAAGGTCTCACCGGCTTTCAGCGTGTCGTCGATGATGTGATCATATATGATCGCTCCCCAGAGCAGCACTATGACCACGTTCGTCGCTTTCTACAGCGGTGCTCTGAGAGGGGCATCTCCCTCAACAAGGAGAAGTTCGTCTACGGCCAGCGACAGATCCGCTTCGCCGGGTACGAGGTCTCCGAGGACGGCTACAAGATCGACACGAGCCTGACCAGAGCGATCGCCGAGTTCCCCACGCCTGGGAACGTCACAGATCTCCGCTCCTTCGCCGGCCTCGTCAACCAGGTAGCGTCGTTCTCGCCCCGAGTCGCTGAGCTGATGACGCCGCTCCGACCTCTGATGAGTACACGTAACGAGTTTCTGTGGCAGCACAGTCACCAGGAGGCGTTTGAGAAGGCACGAGCAGAGTTGTCATCGCCTAACGTACTCGCCTTTTACGACCCGTCTCGACCCACGTCTCTCAGTACCGATGCCAGTCGTTTACGCGGATTTGGCTTTGTCTTGTCTCAGTTGCAAGATGATGGCACATGGCGTGTTGTACAGGCTGGATCCAGATTCTTATCTGATGCAGAGACGAGATATGCGGTCATTGAGCTTGAGTGTGCGTCTGCAGTGTGGGCCATGCAAAAATGTCGACCGTTCCTTCTCGGGATTCAGTTTGAACTCGTCTTGGATCACAAGCCCCTGATCCCGATTTTCAGATCGAAGCGACTTGACGAGATTGAAAACCCTCGCCTTCAGCGTCTCCGGTTCAAGGCGTCGGAGTACAACTTCACCGCCAGCTGGCGCCGGAGTGAGGAACACCAAGCTGCCGACGCGCTGTCAAGATCGCCCGTCGACCAGGCCGTGGCGACGGATGAGGTGGCAGAGGACGCCGGCAGCCCGGCCATCAACGCGCTGATCACCAGCGCCATCTCTGACAGCAGCACGAACATAAGGATGGATGAGGTGAGGCGTATCGCTTCAATTGACTCTGAGTATCAACTGCTTGCCAAATACGTGAGGGAAGGCATGCCGAACCGCAAGCATGATTTGCCTGACTCAATCCGAGCTTTCTGGTACAAGCGTGACAGCCTGTCTATTGATGACGACGTAGTCGTGTGCGGTTGTCGTCTGGTGATACCCCGTGCTATGCGCCACGATGTTCTCACCGCACTTCACGCAGCTCACCAGGGCCAGGAGAAGACCAAGGCACGTGCCCGGCTAATTGTGTATTGGCCCGGCCTGGATCGTGACATTGAAAATGTAACACGCTCGTGCCAAGCCTGTCAGAACGAATTACCGTCGCTTCCCAGGGAAACGTACCAGAGACACGCACCACCCTCACGCCCGTTCCAGATTGTGTCTGCAGACTTCGCAGAACATGGCGGGCGGAAGTTCCTCGTGGTTGTTGACCATTACTCTGGTTGGCAGCATGTCGCGGACCTGGGGAAGACGTTTACGGCAAAGCAGACCATTCGATCTGTTCAAACAATGTTCTGCTTCACAGGCGTACCTGACATCTGGTACTCCGACAACGGCCCGCAATTCGCATCGCGAGCCTTCCGCGAGTTCCTGCGCGACTGGGGAGTCGAGCATCGGACCTCCTCCCCCGGCTACCCCCAGTCCAACGGGATCGCCGAAGCAGCCGTCAAAACCACCAAGCGGCTCATTCGGCGGTGCTGGGATCAGCGCTCCGCGTCCATCGACCCGGACAAGTGGACCCGCGCGATCCTTCAGTACCGCAACACGCCTACTGCTGGAGGACGATCGCCAGCTCAAGTCCTCTTCGGACGCCCTGTACAAGATGCCCTTCCCGCGCACAGACGAGCGTTCGCGGCTGAGTGGCAGCGCGCCGCCGAGATCGCCGAGACGGCCGCCGCCAAACGACAGGAGAAGGTGGAGGAGAGGTACAACGCTCACGCGAAGGATCTGCCCAACCTCAGCGTGGGAAACCAGGTGGCTGTGCAGAACCAGGTGGACAGGAGGTGGACGGCCTACGGCGTCATCGTTCGTGTCTGCCCGAACCGCAAGTACCTGATCCGTCTTCTCAGCGGAAGAGTCGTTTGTCGGAACCGACGACACATCCGCAGGCGCTACCCGCACGTCACGCCGTCCGACTTCCCGAAGGCGGACTCAGGATCCGAGGCCACTGTGCCGTCGCGCTCCGGCACGCCCGTACCTCCGCAATCAGCCACGTCTGGTACGCGACAGCCGTCGCCGGCCACCGAACCAGCTGAGCGGCCGGTAGCGAATCCGCTCCGTCGCTCGAGGCGACAGATTCGTCCTCCGAGACGACTCATTGAAGAGATCTAAGACTGTCGAGTGCTCGCGTATGTTTTTATGTTTTGCGTCAAACTGTGAGCTTCGTCCGAGTGTGGACTTATGTATCTGCTAATCGCGACGAGTGTGTATTTTTGTTTCGCGCGTCTCGTGCTTCTTATTGATCTGCAGTCTTCTTTCCGCGTTGGGGGAGGTGAAGGGATTTGGTGCAGTCGTCTGCTGTTTACGTTACGTGCCAGCCCATCTGGCAGCCCTGCTGTTGACCTCAGCACACGTTCGTAAGGTCGCCGCTAGGTGGCTCCCGAGTGGCGCCACCTCCCACCCGCCATGTTCGACAATACACTCCTCACTGAGACGCCGGCGTGTTCGCAACAGCGACTGGTGACAGTCTAACCGATGTGGTACCGACCTGGTGGCTTCGATGGTGGTCACCACCAACACGTTCTTCTCCACGCCGCGCATGAACTTGTCGGTGCGCTTGTAGTACCGCTGAGGCTCCGTCATGAGCTCACAGAGGCGCTGGATTGTGAACGGAGTGCTGGAAACGACGCAAACGAAACGTTAGCGAACCGACAACAATGCACATTTGCAACATCGCGACTATTTTCACGATGTCGAATAACAAAATTAAACTTCATGGAGACCCACTTAAGCAGAGGCCCTTACCGTATTTGTAAACCTACATGTGCAAGCTCAAACAATTGCATAAATTATCGAAGCGAATAAGCACGCGGTACCCCACTTAGCAGCGACCGACTAACCCGGAAAGTGCGTCGATCCTCAGGTGAATCTCGGCTCTCAGCTGGTCGAATTTGAACGGGTCCACGTTGGGCATGGCCGGTATCTTCTCGGGCGGACAGTGCTGACAGTACTGGTCGGCGATCACGTCCAGTTTGCGCTTCAGCAGCGGCCGTACCTTGGGCCACGGGAAGAGCGAGTCGCCGGTGTGTGCCACGTGGCGCAGGTACGCCTCCAGCACTGGCGGGATCTCCGGAGCCGAGCGACACGACTCGAACCCTGCCGGCCGCCGGCGGAGGCGCAGTCAGACTCAGAACAGCGAGAGGCAGTAATAGCAGACATAGACACAGCATCACAGGCATAATGGCCTAGTGGCAGCAACACAATGGGGCTTGGCACCATCTGGGTCATCCACATGCAGGAACACATGCTTATAAAATAAATAATGCTTATAAAATAAATAATGGGTAATAACACACTACCCAGTCATTTGACAGGTCTTTCAAAGAACCACACACTTAAAAAAAAATGAATTCCACTCAGTGGCTTAAGAAGGCGATGAAGGTGATCAATCTCTTCACATGGCTGCTGTGATCAAATAACTCACTTGTCAGTTCCATCAGTACCTCCTCACGATTCTCCATAATTATAGAATGTGAAGTGGTGCCTAGTTCTAAGTGATATTTCCAGACCTGTAAAAGAAAATAAAAAGTACATTCAGACAAGAAAATGTCTTTAAATGAGAACCTGCAAATGGGGACTTAGCCATAAGGCAGATGCCTACAATGATAATCATGGGCCAGCATGGGAGGTCTTACTTGCATGCACCATCTAAATTCTGAGCCTAAGGGATTTAATAAAGTTGAATTATCAGGCAGTTTGAGACTCAGTGTAAGACATCTATCTGATACAGCAGTGAGATTGAGATACAGCAGAGCAAGCTGCAAGACATTGTCAACACATAGTCATCAACATGATACAGATTGAGCTGAACCATTGTACAGTTCCAAGGTTGCCTTAAGGGCTAAGGCTGAAACAGACTCTTTCCGCATTCAGGAAATCGCATGTCAGAGCCTATTCAAATACATTGTAATTCTTCTCGCATCAATTGCTTGCGGAAGGTGCGTGTGATTGATATGAGCGTGCTTTCATGTATTTGAATAGGCTCTCGCATGCGATTTCCTGACTGCGGAAAGAGTCTGTTTCAGGCTTTAAGCATGATCCACATCAATTGATGTTAAAAGAAAGCAGCCAGTTCAGCATTATGCATTTGACATTTGGAGCCAATAGTTTAGATTTGCATTACTGTTACACGTTACACGTTTTGATTAGAAGCAAATCAAACTTGAACTTGAACTAGTCATAGCCAATAGGTACTGATACACATATGATGCAATTCAAATTCATTCACAGTCACAGCAATACTTTGCTAAATACCTATTTGAAGTTTTACCCTCTATGAAAAGCGAAACAAGATGGCAAAATTCCAGCGGGATCAGGATAGGAAAATTTCGAATAACGACCTACCGCACCATAGAGATCCGCAAAAATACAAAGAGCCACACAGCAAAATAGCGGCAGGACTGATGAATGGCGCTCTTGCGACAGTTGCAAACATGTTCTGTTAACACAAATAAAACTTACTTTAAGGAATCATTAGAATGAAACGAGCTAGGATTGGTCGCGATCTGCTCGCTTAGCTTCCGTACACTCTTGATGTGGAAATTTTGAACACTATTCGAGAGACAGTTATCTTTTGCAAGTTCTTGGTTGTTGTTGAGTTGTGTTGCCGAGGTCACAGGTCACTCGGTTGGTAGTCGCCGCTTTTGCAGGTTATTGCGCGGGTCAGATGGCAGGTACAGTTCAAGTTGGGTGCCCTGAGTTTGAGTCGGGAATAATTGCGTGGTTGGTTAATTTGCATGATGCCAAATTGAAATACTTAGCCATAGCCTGCTCAAAATACAGTTTTTTCAAAAAAAAGTTTTGATGTCGTTTGAAGGTAGGTAGGTAGCTGAAGCGGTACCTACCGTTAGCCGTATGTTGCATTAGGGCCCTGTTTCAAGGCACGCCGCTGTATTGCGCTACAGCGTTGGTTGGTGCGGCGCTTGGGACGTATTCACCTCTATGCTTCAGCATTCGCATTGCGAGCATTAGAGTTTGTTAATGTTTCCATGGAAACCCAATAGGTAGGAACATCGCTGCAGGCAGCTTGCTACAAAACAGTTTTACCTTTTGAAAATTGAAAGAAATTGATTCTACAAAACATATTTTTTTAAATCTGATGGTGACAAAACTGAAAAAGTCATTCAGCCATTGACAATTATGCGAGTGTGGTGATCCTGCATGCTTGCTTTGTATTGTGTTCTTCCATGTCTGACTTCAGGGAAGACATCAACATTGTTCAACTCCCATTAGGCTTGTGGAACAGTAAATGAAAGCTTATACAAAACTTTAAGCTCAACCTTCAAATGCTGCTACCTGACTTATCTCCATACTGAAACCCACATTGAGTGTGGAATACTCTCCAAACAGAACTTCCAATTATACCTTGAAGCATAAAGTCTGCATCATTGCAGCTGTAAACTGGAACTGAAATAATTGAATTGGAACATTTTATTTTGTTTGTTAGGTACCTACCTACTGTTCCTTACAGGGAGACCTACTTCATCATAACTGAGTTTTCAAGAACCCAGCACAAGTCATTTGCTGGCCATCAGTTTTCTTCATCATCTTTGCATTGACAAAGGTAAGTTTGTAGAAAGTAGGTTAAAAAATATTTGACTGTGCAATGTGCATGTTGGGAATACATTTTATTGCTGTAGGACAAAACAAACTTGATTTTGTTGTGGGTTCTTACTTACTCTAAATCCCCTTGGCCCATGATTTTATTACAACATTCACTTGTGTACACTAAACATATTACCTAGGTACTTGTGATGCCTTTCTTTGTTAAAAGATGGGAATCTGTAATGCTAAAAATCATTAGTTGAAGATAATTCCTACTCCACATGTGTTTGCATATACTATAGGTATGTAATAATGTAGGTAAGTACACAGTACACAAAGGCATCTACCTACTTGCCTATATGACAGTCTGGGTCCTGACCATTTCTGAGCCTGAACTCTGAAGCCAATAAAAGCATAGGAGTAGCCATTGTAGGCATAGGAGCAAAATCAGGTGGTATGAGGAGTTTATAAAGTAAAACAAATTAGAGCCCCACATGTCAGGTTTGGGTGGGAACTGGGAGATAGTTGTATAAAGCTGAACCAGAGCATCTGAAGTGACTATTCCACTTATTTTGCTAAGACTAGAACACTACTACAGTGTGGTCCTGCATTGTGACTATTTGCAGCTTTCAATGCATACTGAGTCATCTAGATGGTCGAAACTGAAGAATACTCCCTCCGGAGCTCGGAATGAAAAATTGTAACATTTAATGGATAATATGCAATGTGTAGTATGATTCAAAGTTTGTGAACTTGGGGAAGTAACAGTTTTTGAGTTCTGGGCTGATGAAAGCCTGATTGATTGTACTTTTCGAATACCCGAAAATGATGCTTGCATCGTAACCGACGCACGTTGAAGGTACTCGTCGCGAGATTCTTTGAACTTTTGTCGAGAGCTTTGTTCGAAGTTCAAACAGTGTTACAGTATCGGATTCGGACTTGTTAAGGAATCCCAAACGCCTTCAAATAAATAGCAGATGTGTCCGTTCTGACTGTTTCTCGATAACGCACGTTTTAGCGAAACATGTCGTGCAGTATCATTTAAAGATCGCTACCCAGAAAAAAGGCTTCCTTTTCCTGACTCGTGACGCTATCGATGATAGTAAAGTCAATGACCGACACTAGCTCCCTCTCTGAGAGTCTCCAATGCCTCTATGACCCCTTTCTGCAAAAAATAAATGTGTTAAATGCAGGGAGTAGCAGAAGCGATAAAGATTGGTTGCGGTTGATCGTTATTAAAAACGCAGCTCTCCACTCTCCAGTGGTATCGATAGTATCTGAGCTTCAACACGATAAAAGGATATTGAGAGCTTACCGTAAGATTACTTTACTGATAGGGTGCCGCTCATTCTCAGTTTCTTTCCGTTAACGGCTAATAGTTACTGGCCTCAGAAACGTGTTGGTATAATATAGGTGACGAATTTTGGGGCTAGAAGACATCGCTCTTCAATTGATTAGCTCCAAAATATCAATGATTTATGACCCACTTGGTTTCTTAGTGCCATTTCAACTGATGATCATGGTTGTTTCAGATTCCGATGAACCTCTCCAACAAGTCCTTCATCCTGTCCTTCGGCTCTTCAACCACCATGATCGAACCATGAGGCCCAATGAATGCTTATTCCGAAATTTCAAGTGCATGAAAATCACAGTGAATATGAAATAACCGAGAAGGGACGTGAACTGCTCAGTACTCAAAGTAGCATGCTTTGATTGAAATTACGAAAAAGTGGATACAGTGAGTACGGTTTGACAAATCAAAAGTGCCATAATGGGTAAAAAAGAAGGCAAGAAGGCTTCAACCCCGCAAGTCGAGCAGGCGCCCTCTGAGGCGCCCGTGGTGGATGAGACGCCCTGGTGGGAGGCCGACTTTCGCGGTCGGTCTCTGGACGCGGAGGGCTTCTCGTGGCGGCTGTACATGGTCCGAGAGGAGACCGACAGCGACGCCGACCTCATGGCCATGCTGCTGTCGGCCGTCCGCTCCGGTGTGCGCCGTCAGTTCGTACTGCTGGAGCAGGAGGACGTGCTGAAGCTGGTGCCGGAGGTCAAAAAGCCGGCGCCTGATCCCAAACAGAAGGCCGGTGGGAAGGCCAGTAAGCGCGAGCCGCCGGCAAGTCACGCCGTGTGCGGTATGCCACCCGAAGAGGGCATGCTGGCGGCCGTAGGTGAGGTACTCCGCGACAACGGTCGGCTGGACGCTACCTCCCTGGCCATGGTGGTCAAGCACGCGCTGTCGCTGCTGCTGACAGAGCGCAGGGCCGCCGCCGGCGCCGAGGATCCCCTACCTATCCCCGCGTCGCCCGAGGCGGCCAGCGCCGGCAAGGCGGCTAAGAAAAAGGAAGTCCCGGCCAAGAAGAAAAAGATGTCGACCAAACCAGAGAAGACCGCCGCTGCAGAGGAGGATAAGAGCGCGGAGAAGGATAAGAGTGTTGATAAGGAGGATAAGGAATTCGAGGCGTTCTGTGAGACCCGTCCGAGCACCCTGCGGAAGCGTGGAGAGGCGCTCGAGCCGGCTTATAAGGACGACGAGCCGCCGGACGGACCCGATCTATACGTGCTGCTGGTTGGGTTCGGCGAGCCGCGGCTGCCTCGTGAACTGGCGGCCTGTGGGGTGCATGTCGAGTCGCTGGTGGCTCTGGGCAGCGAGCGATGTCATCTGCGTAACGGCGCCTCGGCAGCCTCCTCTGATACCGACCAGGCCGGATGGTTTTGGAGCGAGCTGCCGGCGCAGCTGGTGGACCCCATCGGCGGGCTGGAGGACACTGCGGTGACGCGCGTGGCAGTGGACAGGTGTCGGGTGCAGTTCGCGCCGAGCGCCACCAGTGCTGCCGATCAGGTATACACAGCCGTGGCGTATGAGATCTACCGCCTGCTGCGTCTCCGTTCGCTATTTGAACGATACGTGCAGAGTGTGACGGCTGTGCCGGTGCCGGACGCACCCCGCCCGCCACCACCGCCTCCCGAGTCCCCGCCGGATGAGCCGATGGCGGAGCTGTCTGTGCCTAACACTCCAGCAGGCTCGGAGGTGGAGCTGCTGGAGCCGTGTGTTCAGCCCCCGCTCGAATACCGGCGGCTACTCGAGCCGCTGCCGCCCGAGACGGTCACGGTGCCGCTGCTGGTGAACGCTCTGGTGGAGCAGGTGTGTGTGTGGGCAATGCCGGTCTGGCAGCGTCAGCAGGAGACGCCGGCGCCGCCGACTCCAAATGAACCCACGCCAGAACCTGACTGTGAGGAGTTGGAGCGGCGTGTGGCCCTACAGGAGGAGTTCACACCGCGGATAGACGACGCCGACCGCGGCCCCGTGCTGGTGTACGAGGGCGACGACGTGAACGCCGCTTTCTGGGACTGGACTGACCGCGAGCCGGTGCTGAGTGCCGAGCACGTGCTGACGCAGACGGCCGAGCTGCAGGCGCTGCAGGGCCGGCTGCCGGCGCCGAGCGGCGCACTGTGGCGCCACCAGGCTGCCCGCCAGGAGCTGCGGGCCGCCGAGGACGGGCCGCGCTCCGAGCCCGCCGCCGAGTTGCTGCTCCGGCAACTGGTGTTCGAGTCCATGTACCCGGCTCTGACGGCCGACTGCAGCGGCGGCGGCGGCGGCCCGCTGGCCTACCCGCACCCGTTCCTTCCGGCCCAGTCGGTGCGACCGGACCGTCAGCAGCTGGCGCCCGAGTGCGGCCACGGCCAGATGGAACCCGACGCCCAGTCGCTGGATACCGGCGATGAACTGCTAACGCCGCCAGCGCAGTTCGCAGAGTTCTGTGTCAGCGAACGACTGGACCGGCTCACCATGGCCCAGGCGCTGGAGGCTGCGCGGGACGGCCGTCGCCGCCTGGCCGCCTACCATTTCGGCGGCGATGATGGCCTTTATCTGGTGTACGGTCACCCGCGTGTGCGCGGTGGCTCGCTGAGTGATCATTGGCAGCGGCGAGCGCACACGGCCGTCGGTCTGCGTGACTTCATCGAGCACGTGCAGCACTGGCCCGAAGTGCGCTCCTGGATGCAGCACCAGTGCGGGCAGCTGCGAAATGCGTTCGCGCCGCGGCAGACACCCCCGTCGCGGCCCGGCTCGGCGGCAAGCAGCGCGTGGCCGTCGCCCGCCGAGCTGCCGCCGCCCGGCTCCGGCGTTCAGCTGCCGGACGCAATGTTCCTGGTACCGGGCTCGCTAAAATACGAGGCGAGCGTCCGGCAGGAGCGTGGGGAGGATGAAGCTCCCCGCGAGCCGACCCAGCCTGCCACACAGCCCGCTCCGGCCCCGGCTGCCAAACAGACCGACAAAAAGAGAAAGGAGTCTCGCCGTCGGAGTTCCGAACAATCCCCTCGTAAAAACAGCGACAAGGGTCACCATCGGGAGGAGGGCGGCTCCCCGTCGCCCCCGCCCCCGCCGCCGGCTGCCATCAGTGTGGTGCAGTTTGAGATCCGACCTCACACTCCGAACGCCGGCGCCAGGCAGCGTTCACCGAGCCCTGTGCCGCCGCCGAAGGTATTTGAAGGTTACAGCGTGTCTCTGGGTCGGCTGTTGGACGTGCACGGCGGCCGGCAGCGGCAGTACTTTGGGGACGGCTCTCATGTGACAGTACGTCACAGTCGCTACGTGCACGGCCCGGCAACGCTAACAGTGAGCGTGCGGCGAGGTGAGACGCGGCTCACTCTCCACCCGGCCGGCGAGCGGCCCGACCTGGTGGCGGTGCTGGCGGGCGGTATCCTGCTCCATCCTCAGACCGTGATGCGCGAGCCGCAGCCGCCGCCACAGGAGCCGGCGCCGGCGCCCCCACCACAGGAGGCCCCTCCACCTACGCCTGGGTCCGAAGAGCCGCCAATGTCCCCACCGCAATCACGCCGGTCTGTGCGACACCGCTCCCCACCAGAGAAGAGCAAAAAGAAGGAGACAAAGAAGGAGAAGAAGGCGGAACCAAAGAAGGCCGCGGGGAAGAAGCGGCAGCCGGCGGAGGAGGAATCACCGGCGCCTCCGCTGGTGGAAGTTCCGTCCGGTCCGCCGGCGGATGAGTGTCCCGATCAGCCGGCTGAAGTCGCCGGGCGGCTGGTACAGACTCTGCGACTGTCCTGTCCCAGCGGGCTGGTGGTGGAGCTGCAGCCAGAACCGTTCTGGCCTGGTCCGGAGCCGCGTCTGCGAGTGGTCCAATATTATGTTGACGCTGCCTGCGAGCGGCGCCGGGTGCGAGTGTATCTGAGTGACGGATCGCTGCTCCTCCTGCACGGCGCCGATCAGCCGGAGGACGAGGTACGCGTTCTGAGCACCGACGGCGGACAGACCACCTACCGACGCTCCGACGCAGGTCTCACTCTGGTGCGCGCAGTCACCGGCGCCGGCCGTCGCCTCAGCTGGGAGCCGGACGCTCCGCCCGAACCCCGCCCGCTGCTCACAAAGATGGCCACGGATCCGGTGACTCGCGAGCTGTACCTGCAGCGGGAGGACGGAGCGCGTGCCGTGGTCCGTCCCGGCGGACAGTCTGTGCTGCAGCTGGCCGACGGCACGCGTGTCACCATCTCACCGCCCCCGCCGCCCCCAGTCGTGGCCGGTGCCGAGCCTCGCCCGCCCGGCTGCTCCGACTATCTCGTGAATGAGTCGGGTTGGATCGGGGCCGCAACAGTCACCTGGCTGCTCGGCGCTCAGGTTACCGTCGATGACGCGACCTGTGCGCAGCGTTCTGTCACAATCGAACACCCGGAGTACGCGAGGGTTGAGATGGACCAAGCTGAAGCACGTTGCCGCGTCCGACTGCCACGCGGTCTTCTAGTAGAAGCTGACAGCGCGGGATTCTTCTACCTGAGCCAGCCGGACGGATCGCGTCTGCAGCTCGACGACCAGGTGCTGTGTTTCAGCGGGCCGGGTGACACCGGCCGCCGGCCCGTGGTGCACACACTGCGTCTGGCCCCGGACGGTTGTGGTGCCCTCTGTGAGACTGTGGACGGTGACGGCGCGGTGTGGCATGTCACCGCAGAGGGGCGGCTCGAACCGGTCGGCGCGGCACCGGAGCCCCTACCGGACCCGCTGCCGCTTCACCTCCGTAGGCAGGTGGAGCTGGAGACGGTGATGGCAGAGCGTCCCGAGCTGTTCGTGCTGTATCGGCACGGAGATGGGGTCCGACTGATGGCCTCCGATGAAGCCGAGCGGTACTTGGAGGACGTGGAGAGCACGCCGGGCGCGCTCGCTGTCCAGGAGCCTCATCAGCAGGACGACGAGCTGACGGTGGTGAAAACGTTCCGACCGGTGGGAACAACGCTGGCTGAGCGGTGGCGCGTGCCCTACCGCGAGGCCACTATCGTTCCGCCGAACCTTCGCTGCCGCGATCTGCAGCTACTCTGTCGGGACGCCGAGCCGCCTCAGGCCGGCGCTACTGTGTGGGGCGGTGGGGAGCCGGTGGCCGGCGCTGGCTCGCCTCCCCCGCCGCGGCTACCCTCTGGCCTGGTGTGTACCCGCGAGCTCCTGGTATCCCCACCACTCCCCGAGCCGCGCCGACTAGCCGTGCTGCGCGCTGTAAACGCTCTCCGGCTCCGGTGGCGCTCCGAGTCGGACGGCGACGGGCAGCTGCCGGCCGACGAGCCGCCCCTGACTCACGTCCAGCATGTCTACGAGCCGGACCGACTGCTGAACTGGCTCAGTTCGACGGCCTCACCGTCGCCGGCACCGGTGCAGACAGTCGACGAACCGACACAGCGACACCGACATCGACGCAGCCGTGCGCCGTCGGCAGCCGTCGATATCCGCGAGCTGGACAAGATCCTCATCTACCGAGAGATGCTGCGCCGGCGCCGATTCCCGGGCTTCTTCCTGACCGCGGACGGTCGCCAGTTTCTGGCCACGCTGCGGCAGACCCCGCCCGAGGAACGACCGGCTCCAGCAAGACGGAGACTGAAGCACGAGCCGCTGCGACTGGTGGCGGCGGCACGCGGCGAGCCACCTCTTCCGCCCGTCGGCTCCGGCGCCGTTCTCTGCCGGCCCGAGCGGCTCGACCTGGGCCTGGTGCGGCCGGACCGGGCCGTCTGTGCCGAGCTGGCGCTCTGCAGCACGGCAGACACCCCTCTGACGTTCCGGGTCATCCCGCCGGGTCCGCCGGTCGGGGTGCGTGTCTGGCCTGAGCTGGGAGTGCTGCCGGCCGGCGGTCAGGCGGTGCTCCGTGTCCAACTGACGCCCTCGGCGGCCGTGCGCAGTAGGTCAGTGTTCTGCCTGCTGGAGGTAGTGGTGGATGACGGAGCTCAGAGGCTCTCCGTCCCCGTGGTAGCGTGTGTGGCCGCAGGTGGCGCGGCGCAGATGCTGCCCGACAGCGCCGGTCGCTGCCACCTGGGCGCTCGGGTCTGAATCGAGCGACGACGGACCGACCGATGGGAGACGTCTACCGACTGGCGTCCCCAGCAAAACCCAAGACCGTTGGGGTCCGATCATGTCAGCCGCCAGATAGTGCGAAATCTGCCGAAACGACATGCTGTTCGAACTCGGGGTTGAAGACTGAGCTGATCGTAAGAGATCTGCCAGAAACATTAGCTGTATTTGATTAAATTGTCTAACGTTTTCTATTGAATCCAATTTTGTCCGTGATCCTTGATCATCTTGTCACCTAGTCCTTGTCTTTCAATGCGATCTATAACAAACAAAGCTGCGAAATCATCGCCTCGCTGAATGTCAATTCCCAAAGAACCTAAAACGGTTAATCAATAATTGCAACCATGTGAAACGACCGAAACGATCGAATAAACGACTTTCTACAACCTACACCGTACTGTGTTCCTCTCCTCTCCACGACGCTACCTCCACTGATCCGTATCCGGTATCACATACGTCATACATCCACAGCGAGCAAGGTGAGTCGAGGGACGATTTGTATGTGGGGACGGGGGACGGGGTGCTGGAGAAATTGCCGTTTCCTGGTTCAGGGCTGGGACACGGGAACACCACCAAAAAGAGAGGAATGGGACACTGCTTCAGTAGAGGGAATAAAAGGGCTGCTGGTTTTTGTTTGGTTGGTAGTGGTGCATTTCACTGTGTGTCAGTATCAGTGTCATTGGCAATCTATCGCCAGGATGGTCATTCTGCGCTCTCCTGTTTGTGTCAGTGTTAGTATCATTGACACGATATTTCACCAGGATGGCCATGCTGCGCTCTGCCGCCGTGCTGACCCGCGATAACGTCGCCTTCCTGATGGAGGGCGTGCCCATCATGTACCGCGAGCTGCTCTTTCCCGTGAAGAAGAACGCCGGTGAGTGTGCGCCGGCGCGCCACTGACAGCCTGCGCCGTTGCAGATGATGTGGGCCCAGCTCTGCATGTGGTTGTGGTGCGAGGTATCGGTGGTCGTCGTCGGGTTGATGGCAATGGTGAGGGAGTGGCTGTACCATCGGCGCGTGACACAAGGTGAGCACCGGCGGAGCCAGCAGAGGGCACCACTCACTCTGGAGGTGATGATCGTTGTGAGATAGCCGCCCAGAAACTGCTGATGATGAGTTATGAACTCTGTTGAAGTCTTCATTTGTATAATGCACCACAGCCACTTGCTAATTTATGTCGCTGGTGAAGGTAGTGACTAATGGGTAACTTTTGTTTGCGCTTTATATTCTATAATATGTAAATATTTGTACATTATTTAAACTATGTATGTAAACCCTCGCATTGCACATACTGCCAAATGTCATAATCTACGTACCTCCTGCTCCCTCGTTTTCAGCTCATTTTGCCTGGTGTGTGGGTATAGCATGCGTAAATCTGTGTGGTTATGCTAGACTATTGTTATGCATCGATTCCGCACGTGTAAATGCGTACGTACCTGTATTTCTTCGTTTTGGGATAAACGGTTTATGAAGATGTTACGGCTATGTTCCGTGATTGTCAAGCATTTCATTGAAATACTGCATGGTGAGAATCGCTGATGTCTCACCTGAACTTTACTTTTATGGTGTTGGATCTAAGAAGTGCACAGCACACTTAGTACCTACTTCGTGCACAACATGGACAGTGTAGCGTATCAGTAATAGTTAATATCGCTTTATGCCAATATCCCGGAGCCGGAGCTGGAGCCGGGAGTGGCCACAGTGACTGTGTTTCCGCAGATCTGGTGTCGCAGGATGGCCGGGTGGCAGTCATCACCGGTGGCTCCCGAGGCATCGGACTGGAGGCCGTCAAAACGATGCTCAAACTCAACATGCACCTCATCGTTGGTGAGTTATTCGCAGCAGTGCGCCCGTCATCTCTTGACTTTTAGTTTCCTATGTATGTTGAAAGTTACAAGCTGTTCATTTGTTTGCTCTGGTTTGTCTGGGGCCTGAACTCGAATATTTCGCCTGTCGTCTCGGATAAAGAAATATGCATTTATTCTGCACCACGCACCCACTGCAGTGACGTGTTGTGCACTGCTCTCCGGTCATTGCGTTGTCATCCATTGTCTTTTGCGCTGCGTCGTAACGTCTTGACTCCACGGTCTATTGTAACCTTGCAGCGCTCTAAACGGACTCTATTTGCGGAACTGCTCGCTATGCTAACTCACCCACCACCCTCGGCAGGCTCCAGCAACCCGGACAAGGCCTCCAAGACGCTGCAGCCGCTGGCCACCGAGGCCGGCGGCCAGTGCAAGCTGGAGGTGTGGCCACTGGACCTGACCAAGCAGGAGTCGGTGCGCGCCTTCTGTCAGCGCTTCATCGACTCGGGTCTGCCGCTGCACGTGCTGCTCTGTAACGGTCAGTCGGGGGTTAACGTGGTGTTGGATGGGTCAGCAGGAACCCTCTGCTGTCTTTCGGCCAGTCCTTCAGACAAAGGAGGGTGATCGAAAGCTGGGTATGACAAGAGGATTACACATTTTGCCCGCAATAAGGTGGAATGGAGGAGGAACTGTTCCTGCTTACTCGTTTATCACAAAAATTAATTACACTTCGTCAACGACATGCCTACAAAAGAAATTAAAAAACACCTAATGCCTACTTTAGAGCCCCTGACTGCACCCTTTAATGTATTTTTTTCATGTTTCTCACGCTGAGACTTCTGTGGAACGTTTTTGCTGGCGATGAACGCATTCTGAAGCGGTACGCTTCACTCCGTTCCAGCCGGCATCATGTTCTATCCGAAGCACGAGCTCACCGAGGACGGCTTCGAGATGCAGATGGCCGTCAACCACCTGGGACACTTCACCATGCAGCACATGCTGTACCCGCGGCTGCGCGAGTCGGGCACTCCCGAGCGGAAGGCGCGCATCGTCAACGTGTCCTCCACGGCGCACAACTGCTGCAGCGGCATGAACTTCGACGACATCATGCTCAGGTGGGCGCCAGGCGGTCAGCCTCGAGACGTCATTGCTCTCGACCAAAGCCGATCATCGTACCAAGTTATCCGGCGCGTAGAGCGCACGAGGCACGAATCTCCTAACCCTCTTATCAGTCATTATTTTTCTTCGGTGCTATTTTACGTAGTGCTTCGTTTCTGTTGTGAGATAGGCTGACGTATTCGTTTACAAATAGCGGAGCAGGTCACCACTCTTCTAAGTCGGTTGTTATTTTTTCCAGCAAAGTGTACTCGCCGAAGGGAGCGTATTTCCAATCCAAGGGCGCCCAGATACTGTGCACCAAGTACCTGGCTAACAAGGCCAAGGACTCGGAGGATAATGTGACCTGCTGCTCGCTCCATCCGGGGGTCATCTACACCGACCTTTACGACTACACCACGCTCTACAAGATGGCCTCGCCCGTGCTCAAGAAGCTGTGGAAGGTATGTGTTCGTCTGTCTAGATTTATTATGCGTTAAGGATCGAATCGAAGTCTTGTAGATCTTAACCCTCGCCGGACCTATTGGTTTTCTACATACGCGCCGGCCGAGGGGGGGGGGCGGGTACGACCCCCCCTCGCCGTTTCGCCCCTGGTGGAGCTAGCGCGTCGCGGAAAAAACGAGCGTGTGCGCCGTTACGAGACGCAGAGATTGGTACCCGATTTTAAGGTCCTAGGTCAACCGGTGACCTCTGAGGTCAGGTCAAGTGCCCCAAGGTACGGTTCAGTTTTTGGTGAATAACTTCGCAAAAAACGGCCGCAGAGCGCCGATTTTGGCAGCATCGTGTTCGCCTCGCTCAGGCGCGTCGAATGATATACTTTTTGTCCGGGTCAGGTCAACTTGGGGTGTTGACCTCAGGTCAAGGTCAGGTCAGCACCCCCAGGTCACGAAGTTGGTCGAAAGAGGTCATGTCGCATATCATTCGATTCGGCAGGCCTTCCTGAGTCCATTGGTGGCTTTCCCGACTCGCTAGCTCAATTTGGTCAAGAGTTATTGACGAAAAACTAATATGACCTTGATGACGTCATAAATGACGTCACTCAAGGTCAACATTGCAAAAGTGACGCATCTAACCTTGCAAGGAGTGCATAAAATCACGATTCTGTGTGCTTGAGATAGTTGGAGATCGTTCCCGGCGCCAGAATAGCAGTTTGAATTTTTCCCCATTGACTTATAATGGTGAGGTCACGAAAATGACCTGACCTCATATGACCTTTAGGAAAAATCCGAGATATACAAGTTGTGGGACTCATAATGGATACTAGATCCTGCAAGTTTCATTTCCCTGTGACATCTCCTCTAGCAGTGAGGGCGTTGCGAAGTTGCGACATCTGAAGACCGTGCAGAGGTTCACTTATGACGTCATAGGTCAGTGATCTGACCTGACCCAAAAATTCGGTTGGTGTCAAAAGATGCGGCTTGGATCAAAGGTCAGGTATGCCAAGTTCCAGCTCTCTATCGCCAGCGTGTTCGGAGCTATCGCGAAAAAAAACCCTATGGGGGGGGCGGCACCCGCCCCCCCCCCCTCGGCCGGCGAGGGTTAAAAGAACGCTTGTGGATTTGTTGAACGGTTGACGAAATAGAACTCGTTGAGTCACTTTAGTGCATTATCTAACACCTTACGAAAAACATGTGTTCCTTGTTTTGTGCGTTATAGCTAAACTAGCTTTATGCAAATGACTCGCGCCAATATCGTGATAAATGTTTAGGTACGGTTTCCCAGCGAGTTTGGTGGAGTTTACTGCGGTCTCTGGCCCAAATGGTGCTTCTTGTCCTGCTCACTTCTGCACAGGACTGTTCAGTCTACCAGTGCTGCCCTCTGTCCAGCGCTAGTGCTGTCCCGTGTCTCCCCGTTTCTCACCACTCCCCCGGTGTGCCCCCAGAGCCCTCAGGACGGCGCCGAGACGCTGCTGTACGCCTGTCTGTCACCCGAGTCAGAGGGTGTCACCGGCGCCCACTTTGAGAACGCGGCCGTGTACCGTTCTGCGCGCTACACTGAGGACAAGCAGCAGCAGGAGAAGATGTGGCAGCTGAGTCGCCAGCTCTGTAAGGTAGACGCGTTCAAGGAGGGGGAACTGTAGGGTGGGCTTCTGAGAAACCAGCTCTTCGGTCTAGAATCCGCACATAGGCCGGCGCTGGGCGCTCGGCCAACGAACATGTTGTGGAGATGAGACCCATGGGATTATTTTCATATCGTATCCTTTATGCGGGACCAAAGCGACGATGGTGGTGGAAATATATGTGGCATTTGTGTTGTCTATGCTCTATGTCCTCTGTACTAAACGTCCTCTGCTTTTTTGTACTCTGTTGTGGATCGGCCGTTGTTGAACACTTAGTTCTGGTTGTTGTTATCGTCAAGGTGTAAGGATATTTCTGGAAAGATGACGCACTTGCTCAAACAACTATATGGCTAAGGTGATGTTATATACTTAACCCGCGCCCTGCTGGGGGGGGGTGTTTGAACACCCCCCCTTGTGGTTTTTCGCGAATATCTCAAAAACGGCGGCGCGGAGCGCCGCCGTTTTTGGTACACCTTATCATACATCAATTCTACACATGTTGTGAAAATTTCAGACCAAGGTCATTCAAGGTCAGGTCACCAGGTCACTTGAAGTGACCTCACCTCATAAAAACTTTCAATGTCTGTCATAGCTACACCGAGTGACCGATCGCTTTGAAACTTTCAGCGATTGCTAAAGGCAATAGCTTGTACAAAATGTATATCTCAGAATTTTGATATCGATGACCTAAGGTCAGGTCAATTTTGCGACCTCGCCATTATAAGTCAATGGGAGAAAATTGAAATGCGCCTCTTTTGGATGCAAGACATTATAAACACTCCCAAACACCGAATTACAAGTGGTTTAGACACACTGAACATGAAAATGGTGTCCGTGACCCTTGTTTATGCCCTGAGGTCATCTAAGGTCACGAATGGTATCGAACAGTTTTTCGCAAATAACTTTTGATAGAGGCATGCTAGAGCGATGAAAACGCCTTAGATGTGTTCAGCTCGACGATACGGATCGACTGATATGCAACATGACCCTTTCCGGTCAGGTCATGACCTTGACCTGAGGTCAAATTTTCAAGTTGACCTTTCAAGGTCAAGTTATAGTTCATTCGATGCGTCTTGACGAGAGGAACACGATGCCGGTAAAAGTAAGCTCGTACAAGGCTTGGGTCAAAAGTTATTGCAGAAAAACTGTTTTCGAAAAAATCGTCTATTTTTGCAGTTTTTGCCCCCTGGAGGCAAAACCGTTGACGTTAGGTCAAATCTGAGAGAATTACTCAGAAAGGGCGTTAATAGGGCTATCGAATGCACTTTTCCGCGGCGCTGTAGCTCTATTGGTTCCCGAGTTATGCGTTGGCTTCTTGGAAATTTTCGACATTCGACCTGGAAATCGGCGAAATTTTGCCTTCAATGACCTCTGGTGACCTGACCTTTGACCTGACCAAAAAATTGACTGAAGTGATTTCGTCATTATTTTTGACGCTCTTTCGAACGCCGCCTTCCGCGTATCGCTACGTGGCCCAGGAGCCGAGTTACAAGGGGGGGTGTTCAAACACCCCCCCCCCCCCAGCAGGGCGTGGAAATCCAGGACCCCCAGCAGGGCGCGGGTTAAAGTTCAGCGCAAAGCGCTGGTGGTGCCCGCCAGTTTTGAAAGTATCTGAGCCAGTTTGAGTCCTGCCGAGAATGATATAGCGGTGTTGTGAGTTGATAATGACGGAATGATTTATTTTTTGGTCTCATTTGATTCTTCGCTGCTTTATGAAAGAGCTTAGCTCCTATACTCATTCTGGATCTGTATCGTGTTGTTCGTGTTATTTGTTGCAAGGCATAAACAGTTTGGTAAATATTTGAATACAGACATTCTTATAAATATGTGGTGTTGATTGAACCATTTTGGCGCTGAACTTCTAAAATCATTATTCTGTCCCTGACTTTTGAATGACTTGTGTTCTACATTTTATTGTGCGGACTCATGCCTCATATTGGGGCGCGGTTGTAAACGGACAACTTCACAGGCATCAGCAAATAGTAACGATTTTTGTTGAATAATCAAATTTTCTAACTTGCACCCTCACTATTATCATTTAGTATTGCGAATATTTGGACGGAACTTGGCATAACATGCACGCATAGAAGCTGCCAATGCTGCCAGTATGCAAATCACTACTGCATTTATTTCGATAGCGGACTACTTGGTTACCTACTGGTCCTCGCCATATTCTCCGAGTCGACGTGCTGGAAGCTATAAAATATTTCCGCTTAGTTGTTTGTATAGTTGGGATGGGCTCTTTCGGTCTAACATGACCATTTCAGAGCCGGAAGGGTGAAAGGAATTAGTGGGAGACGTTGGTCTGGGCTGGCACCCTGGTGACCCGTCGGGTCTGAGCCCGTCCAGTGAACAGGCCACCCAGCCCCCTGGCGGTCACCGCACCCGGCTACGGGCCTGCGCCTCAGGGGTGGAGCTATCCGCATGGGATAAAGTTGCCCGTCCACCCCAGAACAGGGGGTGGATGCGTGGAGAAGGATTTGACGCTCCTGAGGATGGAAACGACGGGGCGGAGGTCCGCTTAGTTATTTTAACGTCGCTCCTTGCATACATTTCGTGAAAAAAATAATAAGTAACGACTGGGCATTGGGTAGTCGGAATTGGATGAATTCATCCTTGTAGACGGACATGGTCTGCTCCGATCACTGGCTTCATCTGACTTCCTGCTCCCAATCGAATCTCAGACCTTCTCCGTCAAGAGTTATGCGTGTCGAGCGTCAGAGCGAGTCGAACCCGGGCTCTCCCCGCCGGAAGTTCGATCCTTTTATTAGGTTGTTGGACTCAATAGCCTTGGTTGGTGGCCAGAAAAAAAACTGGGCGACATATTTGAAGATGTTTTTTTTTTAGATAAAGTTAGCATATTTTTAGTTCGGTGTAACGCGTTCGATAAGAATAGATTTGTCGGAATAGCATCTCAAAAATAAGTGACAAAATTTTAACCCTCACTTTCCCTTGCAATGGCGACAACACTGTCACGATGCTGGTCAGGCTATCCTGCAGCATCAGCTCGCACACGACCGGTGAAACGACACCTCCGCACGGCGTGACGTCACGACTCGGGCGGTGACGTCATGTCGCCGTGACGTGACGGGAAAGTCTTCGCAGTGTTTCGCGTGACGGCGGCCAGCCGCTCGGTGGCTGCACGAAGGAGGTTGGCAAACGGTAGCCGGTGGAGGTTAAACAGTTAAACACCTTTCGAGCGACCGCGCGGTTACATTAGAGACATGTGTTGTTAGTGATGTTACACTCAAATTTGTATGTGCAATGCAAGGGCGCACATAAGGGTGGGGCACACGGGCCCGTGCCCCCCCCCCCATTCGAGTTGGGGGGCCCAACTCGAAGGATTAGTATGATGAAGCAGAGAAACTAAATCACCGTGCGGCATTGCTAGTGGTCCCCTGACCGTCCCACATCTCGAAACATCTTGGACGTCTGTCGTTAGCTTCCAAGCTAGCGATGAACTCAAGCTGGTTTAACCACTAGGCATTACGTCACTTAGCTTTATCCGCGTTGTCGTATCCCTCGGCCTCATGCCGATCTCGGTTGTCTGCGCGACGAAACATTGCACTAACAGGGACTTAATTGACCGTATTCATTGGTCGGTTTGATTTCCAGCCGTATCATCGTTAATTGAAATCCGTCTGGTGTTTCGTAATTTTTAGGTACCTAGAAATTGTTGTTAAGTGCTAACCCCCGAACGGTATTGGTCCGTGGTCGCAACAGTTCGGCAATAGATTCAGTCCACAACTGGTGCTAGCTATGTAAATAATTAAATGTGTCACCCAAGGCTATGTCACCGTATAGGCAATGTATTCCACATGGAGACTGCAACGTCAGACGCTGCTGTTAACCCTCGCCCGTATTGGTGTTTCGCCAGCCGCGAATGTATAAGGGGGGTCCAACGGGGGTCCGTTGGACCCGGCAAGACCCGGCAAGGGGGGTCCGTTGACCCTTTTTTTCGAACAACTCCGCCACCCATGTCAGGTGACCAGGAGTGCCCCCACCCTCAAACCCAGCGACTAGCAAAACCTTACGTTAACACCAGACAAAATAAACAGATAAGTCGCGGCACTCCCTGCTAAGAAAAGAAATAAAACATAAAAAAGCAAACGAGAGAAAGCCGGTAGCGGGTTTAGACGGAGACAAGAACACCCCTTGCCGTTTGACAAGACCCCGTGGCCGTTTCGCCCCTGATCGAGCTAGAGCTTCGCGGAAAAAAACGAGCGTGTTGCCCGTGACGAGAGGAAGCCGATAATACCCAACTTTAAGATCTTAGGTCATTGGCTGATCTTCCAAGTCAGGTCAATGACCCAAAAGTCGGACTAAATCGGAAGCTTAGAACGTCGTAAAGTGTGGCTGCAATGGGGTTTTTCGGGATGCTGATCACGACTATCGCGTTAGTTTTGATCACAGATGATATCTGTATGCATTTAAGTCAGGTCGGGTTAGGCCAGGTCAGGTCAACCAGAAGGCGTCCTGCCGTGTGGGACGGATTCCCTTAATCGCGATTCCGGTCAAACATGGTCTCGAAAAGTAGGTCACAGGTCAAAGGTCATTTGGGCCAGGGCCATAAAATTTTTAGGGTAGTTGTAAAATTGATAAACGCGAGAGTAGGTACTGAAAGTTTCGTCGCGATCGGATGCTTTTTACGCTTGAAAAACCGCGGGGGTCCGTTCGATCCTCCCTCCCCCTCCCCTATACGGGCGAGGGTTATAATGGGATTGGTTCGTGCGTCGCCGTTAAAGATTTGACAGAAATGGGCGGAGCTGCCTCTAGGATGCAGAAGTAAAAATAAACAGCAGGAACGTTTGAGGCGCTCACGTGATGTCAGGTCTTTGTGTCGGAAACCTGGGCCTTAATGGGCTGAACCATAGCGTATGTGATTATTTGCATATCGGTTAACTTTTCATCCAGTGACGAGCCATAGACGGAGATTAACTTTTAGATAGGTAATGGCTTGAATGCGACATTTTTAATTTTGACTGCATTAATGCCGAACAACTCCAGAGTCTCTCTTCGCTAAAAAAGATGCGGTGAACTTGATCGAAATCGGTTTAACTTGCAACTAGGTATACGTGTAACCGTCTACTGACATTTGACTGAACACAGTTTCAGCAGTCGACTGGTTCTGATACCAGCGCAGCAGATTTTCACCACCTTAACCCTCGCCCTGGCAGGGGGGGTCGATGCGACCCCCCCTAAGCTTTTTCGAAGATAGCGTAAAAACGGCGGCGCGCAGCGCCGCCAAATTTGGTACAGCCTATGGGGCAACCTTTTTACATATGACCTGAAAATTTCAGGTCCGGGTTACCTTGGGTCAGGTCACCAGGTCAGAAAAACCGGTACAAGGTCATGGTCAAATTTCAATTTTCTTTTTGCACTTGTCCAGCTCACAGTTTTGGACTGATTTCCTTCAAACTTTCAGGGTGTGCTAAGTTCACCGAGTTGTATAACATATAGTTCGGGTTTTTTGAGGTCACTGACCTGAGGTCAGTTAGAGGTCATTACGTCGTAATGTTAAGCCTATGGGAAAATACTAAATTTGGAAAATACTGGAGTTATCCGCTTCGTTCTATCACTTTTGTGCTTTGAAACCACAGTACTTAACAGCAGGTCACTTGGTGCTTCTTTGTTTGGTGTACTTATCCATGGGTCAGGTCAAATGAGGTCAACTGAGGTCAAATGATGTTTTTGCCAATAACTTGGCACATAATGACGCTAGAGCTTAAAAAATGGTGTCATTGTGTCCCTGGTGATCAGCCGAATCGAATGATATGCGATATGATGCAATTTAGTTAACTTTAACTTAATTGATTAATTAAAGTTTACTTAAAAATTAAGAAAAACTTTAAGTACACTTAAGCAAGCTAAAAAGTATATCATTCGACGCGCATTGACGTGCTGAGTTCACTGGTGATTTTCTTTTTGCTCGATCTTAATTAGATCAAAAGTTATAAGCGAAAAACCTTTGCCCTGTTTTTAGCGAAATTTTTACCTTTATACCCCCCAAACCCCCCTAAATATTGACCTAGAGCAACCAACTTTGCACAGGGGCGAGAACTCCGGGGGCCCACCTACCTACCAAATTTGGTGTTTCTAGGTGCCATAGGAGCCAATCGCGAGGGGGGGGGGTCGCATCGACCCCCCCCCCCCCCCCCTGCCAGGCCGTGTTATGAAAAATGCCCTGCCAGGGCGAGGGTTAACACGACTGAAATACTGACAACATTCTGACACTCACACCACTGCAGCAGTCCTATCATTACCGAAACACACACTGACATACAACTAGCGCTTTGACACCATCATCACGCAAGACAGTGAGACAGCGGACAGCGGCCGGCCGCCGTTCGCCGCCGGTTGGACGGTCGCGCCGCGCGCTGAGAGTGATCGGTGCGCCGGTTTCCGTCACGGTGCGTCACGAGCGCCGCTGTTCCGCCGCGGCGCGTCACGCGCGTCTCGTCGCGACCGACGCGGCGGCACGAGCGCTCCGATCGTGCCTGAAGCCGGCAGCGGCGGCCCGCTGACAGTGAGTGTGAGCGGACATAAAGGCTGAGCTGGGAGGAGAGCCAGCAGTGTGTCGGAGGCCGTGGAGGCAGTGGTAGCGGAACTTTGCAGACAGACCAGAGGGCCTCTGGGCTCTGACCGACACCGTGGAAGCGAGTCTCCTGTGAGACGGCTGGATCGTCTCAGCAGCTGACGTCCAGTGCGGCCAACTAACATGGTGAGACAACCCGGGTACTCCTTTCACTCGTATTGGGCATATTCGGCATTAATATTTAAATTTGCATTTTTGCTTGACGCTCTTCATTTTCATTAATTCACTATGAGTACCCATTACGCTATTGTTTATCGTCGGCAGGGCTCGTGCGGGGCCGGCTCGCTGCTGTGGGCGCTGCTGACAGTGGCAGCAGCGGGCAGCAGCACCGCAACCCCAGCGCCAGCGAACGCTGCCGGCACTTCCCTGCTGCTGCGGCACCTGGATAGAGGTGTCGAACAGCGAGCACCGGTCCCTCAGCAGGGAATCAACCGATCGGCAGACACTACCCGAACCGGAGTCGGCCAGTCAAGTATCCAGCACAACGGTACTGCACCGAAGGTAATTTGGAAATAGAAAAATGTGAAACAAACTAACGGTATATGGCTACTGCCTACCACCACGACCACGACTTGGTAGGTACTGTCTTGTTTCAACATGTTCTTAGTTAACTAAAAAATTACATAGCTCTTTTCCAAATTGCTGGTTAGCCGTTAAAAAGTATTGTTTTCTCTTTGACAGGTGGCCAAACAGCCGTCGGCTAATTTGGACACGTCTTCTCCGAGACAACCAGCGGGCTCTGCAGATGCCAGGGAGCTGCCGCCCTCGCCTTCGCAGCCGTCGCCATTTGTCGTGAAGCCGGCACCCAATTTGGCCGGCGTGGTTCCCCCAGTGCGATACAGAACTCCCAATCACCAACAAGCCCTTGCCAACCAGGGAGCACAGCTCCAAAGACAGCCTCCTCACTCCTCGCCTCGATTCCCTACTCTTAACCGGCCGCTGCCTGGCCCGGTAGCTCAGCCTGCCACCCCTGCGCTCCGTCAGAACCCCACGGCGTTTCCTCAGGTCCCGTTGGTAGGCACACAGGGCGCTCAGGCGCCTCCGCGTGTACCTTCGGTGCTATCCTCCAGTCACAACCCAAAGTCTGGTATCCAAAAGCCGTCTCGTCCCTCCCCGATCTCTCCTATTGCCTCGCCTCACCAGGCGTCCCCCAGCATCGGTACCGGGTTCCCACCGCTGACAGCGCCTGCACAGTCCGGCCCTGCCATCGAGGGACGATCACTGCCGGCGCAGGCCACCACCGCTCAAGAGAGGCGCGCCAACTGGCAGCCAGGTCACCCGTTTCAAGGCGTACCGCTGGAGGGAACCTACCTCGACCCAGCCCGGGAAACGACCGCAGATGAAGAGGAAGACGACGGGAAGATCGTCTACCGCCAGCGTCGACGCAAGGATGGTCGACGAGGCCGATACAACCCACGGCAAGTAAGCGAGGATAGGTACGAGGATCGGGAGGAAGCGCCGAGGAACCAGTACAGACGGCCGAAGGCGGTACAGCAGGACGAGTACAGAGAGCATGAGAAAGTTCCGCGGAAACGGTATGACGCCCCTAAGGAGACTCAGCGGGACTATTACGACGCTCCGGAGGAGGTGCAGCGGGACCGGTACAACAACTTCTACCGGAACAGCTACTCCCGCCAGCGAGTGGAGCCCATCACCGACAGCAGTGAGTTCTTCGGCGAGGAGGAGGGGCGTCACGGTGGACACGGGGGTGAACGCGGTCACCGGCACGCGCTGGGAGAGAACCACGGATACCCTCGTGACCACGCAGCGCGTCACGTCTATGGGGACGGACATCGTGCCGGTGATCCTTACAACATCCGACCGACAGATGAACAGGTGGATCGTGAGCACGCCAGGGAGCAGGAGCACGATCACTACTACAGCCAACAGAGGTTCGACGACGAGTACGATGATGAGCGGGATGAGGGCCGACGCGGCAAGAGGAGGCGCCAGAAGCAGCGCCGACACAGGGGTTACGGGCTGGAGCGAGGTGGTCCCGCAGAGCGACCGAGGTACGCTGAATACGACCGACAGCAGGACACCGAGAAAGATGTGAGGAACGAGGGTAGCAGGTACAATAGAGCCCGGCAGGCGGGGAGACAGCAGCCTCCTCGACCTGATGAGGACTACAGCGACTACCCAGCGGACTATCCTGCGGACTATCCGGCCGAATACCAGGAAGACTATGACGGAGACTACTCGGACGACTACGACCGAGATTATACAGCCGACTACCCCGACTCAGAGGAGGCTCGCTTTCCTGTGTCGGAAGACCGTCGCCGGTACCCGCTAGAAAGACGACGACCTTCCCTCAACACTGTCACTACGCGTCGCGCGTATGCTCCGGAGAACTACACTCCGGAAAAATACACTCCGGAAAGCTACACTCCTACCCGGCGAAGCTCCTTTCGAGGGATTCCTTACGCAGTCGAGAACTACGACAGCACTGCCGACGTTCGGAGAGAGCCGGCGACCGAGATTCGTCCGGAGCGGGCGGCCGACGAAACCTTGAAAGGACCCGAGCGTCAGGAGAAAGCTGTCGTCCATCGCAGGTGGGCCAGATCTGTCCCTTCCCAGCAGCTAAGTGAACTGCTTAGTGTCAATCACACTGCAGCGCTTAGGGATCTGATCCGTGTCATGGAGACGGTTCGCAGCTCAGATGTGAGCTCACAGAGTCCGGTAAAGCTCGATCAAGAATCAGAGCCTGGGGCGGAGGAAACTGCCGTCTCAGTTAGTCGCGATGCAGAAAATCCTCTCGAAGAAGAATATCCGGATGAACACGAGGAGCTACCCAACGAGATGGGATCCGGCATTGCGTCCAGTGGCAAGTCAGAAAAAGAGTCTAGCCATAACCCAGACGTATCACTAGACGGAAGTATCGGTACCAACCATGAAAGTGAGAATCAAACAGCACCTCACATCGACGAGACGCAAGTACGTGACTCCCGGCCCAACACAGAGACCTTCAGTGGTGACCACTGGCACGTGCAATGGGAAAGTCTGAAGCACAACGTTCCTGCCTTCCGCCGTGGGCTGAACAGTGTATCTAGCCCGACTTCCGTCAAACGCCATCTATACAGCAACACTCTTGAACAAGTGGCCAACCATGTTGAGCGTGATGGCCAATCATCCTCACCAGCTGCGGAACGAACGTTGAGCGTCTCTGCCTCGGAGCGATCAACGCCTACACGGGCAGCTTATTTCGACGAGCCCCTGCAGAGACAACAGCGGCATGTGGCCTCTTCTGTCAGTGACCGCCCGGCACAGATCGCAGTCAGCGAGCGAAGGAGCAGCGATGCTCCCGGAGCTCTGAGGGAAATCGAGCCAGTTCAGACCAACAAACTTCACAGCGAGTTCGATCAGCTCGACGGTCGCCAGAGACTGCAGCGTCTCACCGGCGCATCGGGTGACGACGAAGTACCTGGAGGATACCGCGATTCGCTGGGCAGTCGTCGGCCCGGAGGCGTACCCGACGGACATTATGACGACGAAAACCAGTACCACGACAACGACCCAAAGAGGGACGAAAACCGTGATCGGTACCCGACCAATGATCGACGCCCGGCCGAGACTCCAAACTACGACATTATTACACCCAACGAGCTTGCCAGTGATGTCACAAGTTATGAGAAGCCCCGCCGATACCGACGGCCTGAGGGAGACACGAAATATGATGACCGTCGCCAGGAAAATAATGAAAGAGATACGGGCTACCGTTCCGATGGAGACAAGGAGCAGAACAATGTTCCCTACCACCAGCGTCCCCAGCACGGGCAGTTTTATGAAGGCGGCAGACGATATGAAGACGAAGAAAGACATCCCTATAGACGTTACCCGGAAGGAGGCACACGTTATTCCGACTCCAACAAGGCCGACAGTGGTTACCAGGCGAATGAAGAAAAACCGTCCGCGTACCGCAGGCCTTCAGGAGACCCCAGTTACTATGGCGATGAAAGAAGACCGTCAGAAAGCCCCAGTTACTATGGCGATGAGAGGAGGCCGACGGATGCCACCGGCTACCGCCATGACGACAGACCACCTCATTCCACTCGTTATTATGACAGTAGGAGGCCTTTAGACCACGCTTACCATGGGGACGAAAGAAGACCGTCGAACGACAACGTCTATCGCGGAGATGGGAGGAGGCCGTCTGATGATGGCCGTTACTATAGTGACGAGCGGAGGCCATCTGATGACGGTGGTTACCATGGTGATGAAAGGAGGCCATCAAAGGACAGTGAATATCGTGGAGACGAAAGGAGGCCATCGGATGACGGCAGTTACCATAGTGACGATCGAAGGCCTTCTGATGATTCTAGTTACCATGGTGACCAGCGGAGGCCGCCAGCTGACGCTAGTTACCATGGTGATGAGCGGAGGCCGCCAGCTGAAGGCAGTTACTATGGAGACGAGCGGAGGCCGCCAGCTGACGATGGTTATCATGGTGATGAGCGGAGGCCATCTGAAGACGACGGAGGACGACGATACCTGCACGACGAGCCGGAAGAACGCCCCCAATATTACAGAGAACCCGACTCGCGCTACCCGAACTCGGCAGAGGATACCGGTGATGGAGGCTACTACAAGACACCCCATCCTGAAGAGGTAGAGCAGCAGCGACTCTACCGACGACCAGATGAGCAAGGTTAGTGGAGGGGTGAAAGGATGAGCTCCGATCCACATTAAACCGCACTTTACATACGTTTCTAGTAATGTCATTTTCAACCACCTTCCCAAGGTCCGAAGACCTAGATGTTGGATGCTTAGTCCTAGTGCCTAACTGCATTTTTATAAGAAAAAAAAAAACACTCATAAAACGAAATTGAAATGTTATGACCAGCTTCCTATGAATATCGACTAAAAAGTCACAATTCACGTTCACTCGACTCAGCTCCAACCTAAGCCTCCCGATTGTCGTCATAAGCTACACATGTTTCCCACAGGCCAATATTCAGCTGACGGTGGCCGGGACGAGAACGAGAGCGAGGACTATCCTCAGGATGGCAGCCAACAGTCGGGCACCCAGGAAACGGAGGAGGACTTATACAGCGGTCCTAACCAGGGCTATTACGACAACGGGGCACCCGGCTACTATGGTAACGACGGACCTGGCTTCACCCGTAACCAAGGCGACGATGGACCCGTCTACAACCGTAACCCTGGAAACGATGGACCTGACTACAGCCGAAATCAAGGAGATGACAGACGATACAACACGGATAGAACCGGAGACAGAACGTCTCATGGGTAAGAAATAAGAAATGAACGTGATTTGTGGCTAAAGTAGCGGTACTTATGTCAACGATGAAACGTTTTAACATTCGAAGCATATCACAGCTTCCAGTACCATGTCTGGTTAACGCTTCTACACTTTGTTCGTATTTGTACCGTTTCTAAGCCGCTATGTGTGACTGGCGCACACAGACCTTTGCCCACAGACCCACAACCTCCCTGACCTTTGCCCTCAGAGCGACCTCGTCACCTGTCCGTGCTAAAGTCCCCGAGCCGGACCAGAGCGAGGCAGACCGCCAGGTGAGCAGCTTCATCAGCCAGATGTTCAAGGAGTACGACCCGTTCCGACGCTCGGAGCAGGCCGTCTGAGGGCAAGACGATCACTCTCTGTGAGCTCGGCTAAAGCGGCACCGACGATCCGCACCGATACCGACGATACCGACCGATAAGTCGCGCCGCCTGCAGATGCTGTTTGTTGACAGTGGAGCCCGTGTGGTGTCGGGGCCGTCGCCCTACGATCGGGTAGCCGGGGGGAAGGGGGGCTCGCACTCCGACCAACAGGCGGTGAATCCGGTGTGGGACCTATCTGTGCAAGAGCGCTGTATGTCATATGAGACAATGTAAGGCTTACCTGCGTGCCTTCGCATAGGCTTTCATCGGGAATATGGCAGCTAGACCCAAAGATATTATATGATCGTTATTGTATCCTTGCCAGCACTGGTCATTGGTGCACAGTGGCACTATTTGTTTATGGTACATGAGTGAGTTGTTTTATGTTGTCTGTTACACATCCTACGTATATGATATATACTCACAATAGTTGAATCGGACTATGCTTATGTTACTATGTAGCTGTTCAACGATTTAAATTAACTGATGCCTTCACGCCCACCAACCTATCAGTTAGATGGGTTATTTTCCCGAATAATTCCACGAAGTAAATAATTTCTATTTTCGAGGGAGGGGGGTCAGTTCAACCGACTCCATACACGTTAGATGCTGAAAACGCCGTACATAGGCGAGGGCTAATATCCTGAGACAACGGAGCTCAAAAACTCAAAACAAACCTCTCGATTGCAACATTGATATCACACAAAAATACATTGGCACATTTAACTCTAAAGCTTAACTTGTTTTGTACCAAGCCTTAATATCTCATGGGCATTTTATGAAGCTTCCGTCGTCTGTGCTTTGCCATATTTTAGCCGAATGTCTGCTTTCATTTTGAGCACTTTTCATCACTGACCTTGCCCTATGACCTTCATCACTGACGAATCTTTGCTTCCTTTGGACGAACTATAACATATCAAACATTGTATATGTTACAGGGAGTATGCGATTTCAGTTAGTTTGCAACGACCCTAGGGTGGTTGTAACCTCCCTGAACGATCAGTTTGTTTGCAACGACCCTAGGGACGTTACAAAATAACTGCTCGTTCCGGGACGTTGTAACGAAACTAGGGTCGTTGCAACCTCCCTAGTTAGTATGCAACGAACCTAGGGTTGTTACAAAATAACTAGGGAGTTTAAGAATTCATCGAGTCTCATTTCACATGAGGGCCGTCAGCAATCTTGTCCATTGAAAATCTTGTTCAATCTAGTTCATTTAAAAAGAAAAGAAGAACAAAATTTGAACATTCAGCTCAGGAGTATTTCACGACGGCCATCTAGTACACATTTTGTGCAGATTAGATGCACATTTGGTGCAGATTTGTTCAAATTAGATGGGCATTTGCCAGGAAGCCCTTCGTAAAAACGGTTATTATCCGCTCGTTTCCAGTCTTTTTGTGATTGTTAACGTTCAAACATGTGAAATGATGATGGTCCCATGCATTATAGTGGGTGTCAAGGTCACGTGAAGGTCAGGTCAAGGTCATTGACCTTTGATGACCTTAGTTCACTTCTTCTGGGTTCATATATTCTTTAGGCTAGTTTTTGGAGCTGATTTCGAATTTAGCACCCATTTGAACATTTAAGAAGTAATTTTGGCGCCTTCGTACCATGTCACGAGGCTGTCAGTGGTGGTTGACACCTACTATGGACAGCTAGCAAGACGCCTACTGGTTGACCTGACCTGACCTGACCCGACCTGACCCAAAAACATCAAGACATCATCGGTGATCAAAGCTAACATGAAATTCGTGATCAGCGCACCGAAAAACATCGTAACAAGCTAACTCTCCAAAGCTTTAACAGGTCCCGATTTTCCCGACTTCTGAGTCACTGACCTGACCTGGAAAGTCAACCAATAACCTAGCCCCGCCATGTGCGTTTGCAGCTAGCAAAACACCAATAAGGGCGAGAGTTAACCCTCGCCCGCACATGCCATTTTCCCATCCTAGAACGCACATGGGGGGGGGGGGGGTTGCCAACCCTCCCCCGCGCCATTTCGTTCCTGTTGAAGATAGAGCTTCGCGGTAAAGACCAAAAAGATTCTTTGGGAAGAAACGAATCCAATGATACCCAGTTTTACCTTCTCAGGTCAGTCATTGACCTTCCAGGTCAGGTCAAACTAAAAAAATGTTGCTGTTTTGGGTCACCGTTGGATATCAAGTGCGCTGCTTATCATATAGCGATGACGATGCCGTTTTCTGGTGCCCAGCTAGCTAGAACCTCTTTGTCACACTACCCGACCAGATTTTTGCTGCTGAGGTCATTTCAGGTCAAGTTAGGTCGAGGTCAATGATATGTGTTTGTATGTCTGTGTGTGTCTGTGTGTATAATGATGTGTGCACCGATTGTTTGTGTTCCTATTACATGAAATTATGATCTGAGAACCTTTCACCAAGAATGCAGTCAAAAAACTTCACGAAAAGTAAATTCAGCTTGCCTAAAATGCAATTATTTTAGATGACCTAGGTTGACCTTAACCCTGACCTTGACATCTGTACATCGTCGAACAACATGTTCCATGATAGGTGGGAGGTAAGACTGGCAAAAAAGGCCGAAATCAAGGTGTCAAAAGCTCACAAGGCCCATAGCCAACGCAAGATGTTGAGAATTGGCCATTTGGGTCATGACATGACCTGAAAAACAAGGTCATATCTCCGAAACCAAAAACCACAAAAACTTGAATTTATTCGTGAACATCTAGAAAGGATAGAGGAGCAGCTATACCAAACATCAGGCTTCTAGCTCTAAAAATGTTGAGTGCAGAGCAGAAAGACTACCTTGGGGAGTGGCAACCCCCCCCCCATGTGCCCCCTGTGAAACGAGACTCGATGATTTCTTAAACTCCCTGGTTATTTTGTAACAACCCTAGGTTCGTTGCATACTAACTAGGGAGGTTGCAACGACCCTAGTTTCGTTACAACGTCCCGGAACGAGCAGTTATTTTGTAACGTCCCTAGGGTCGTTGCAAACAAACTGATCGTTCAGGGAGGTTACAACCACCCTAGGGTCGTTGCAAACTAACTGAAATCGCATACTCCCTGTAACATATACATATAAGTTGCAACTTTGGTTCCCATTGACGTAACTTACGCAATACCTATCGATAGCACTGTAATTAACATTATACACGGATCACAGCCACATGGCACAAAACCATAGCCTCGTCTACGCCCTGACATTCTCCATGAACCACTGCACGCGGTCGGCGCTCTTCAGCACACGCGGCATCTTGAACTGGGCCGCCGAGACGGCCGTGGTCTTCACCAGGTGGTCCTGGAAGCGGGCGAACGTGCCGGCCGGCATCTGGTACACGGCCATCTCGCCCAGCCGGCCTGTGCTCCGGAACACGCGGTACTCCTCGCACTGCTCCTGAAGTGTCCGGTCCACCTGTGGAAGATAGATGAGTCGACAGAAATCATCGGCCGTTTGCGCGTTGTCGTCAGAATGCATACCTACATACTGGGAACGACGCGAACAGAGCTGCTACCTATGTAAAGCAATTTATTTTCTGAAATTTCCCTCCTCCGTTTGCATATCGTAATGAAGTATGCTTTTTCGCAAAAGTATAAGCACTATACAATTCTACATACATGTAGATAGCAAAAGACATTCAGGGTAGGGGAGAGTGGGGTGGGTTGTATCAGTTTTTACTCCGAGGCCCATAACCTCGTAACTATCCGTGATAAACTCATTATTTCCATACTATCTCCTTCCTTGATTCTTCTGCTTTTTTGTGCAAAGTAACTTTTCCGCTACCTCTACCAGTTTTTCTTCTACGGTCTGCCGAATAGAACGATGTTTTTGATACAACTTGCCCCATGGCTTGGGTGAGTTGTATCACATGGTGGGGTAATTTGTATCACTAGATATTTCACGTTTCAGGGAGTGTGCTTGCTACTGGTTTTGAGCATAACAACAACATTAAACGGGGTTAATACAATGTATATGCTCAAAGGCTTCACTTTTATTAGACCAAACTTAGGTCAATGTAATCCGAACGAAACATCGAAACGAACGAAACATCAACAGACTAGACGTAAAAGTGGCCCGTTAAGAGCAAAGAAGCCAACACACTGTGCCGAAATGGAACAAGTATTGACTAGCTACCTACAAACGCGAGCCAGAGCTTAGCTTTCGCGATCAAAAGCAACATACCCATACATGCATACATACATTCATGTTACAACATACCCCACCCGGCTCTGATACAACATGTACCTCGCCGCCATCTTGGAAGAAACATCCTCGTGCTCAAAAACAGCGGACAGCTGGATAAATCCATTTTCACTCACGCAGCCTTAGAACCTACCCTCACCACCGCTACGGAGATCTTTCAAATTCGTGCACATCTAAATGCCCAAAACACACATTTTCTTGCAACGTATTTTTTTAGAATGGCATTAAAAAAACATAAAATCGGCCCTCACCTCGAGACGCGTCCACCCAGCCACATGACAGAACAGGGAAAGATGGCGCCCGGAAAACCTCGTCGGCTGGTCGTGTCACGAGCGTCATCTATTGGATAAGTTTGGCACAATTCGCCCTGATACAACTTGGACATGATACAACTCACCCCGCTCTCCCCTAAGTAAGCAGCACTTTCTCAATTCGTCAGTATGTCAAATATCTGCACATGAGCATTGTCACACACAGCTGCACTGCGCTACACTGATCGGACAGGACTCTGACTCTGACTCACCAGCACCACCTGCTCCGCTGTCAGTGGTTCCCCCTCCAGCTCGAGGAACAGCAGGTACCGGCGACTGAGCTCGTGCTGGTCAGCCGGTCCCAACTGACTGCTAGCCACCGTGTAGTCCTTCAGGGTGGACGGCCAGCGCTTAGCCGCGTCCTCCAGCGCGCGAAAGAACACATCCTCGATCATTTTCTCGCCACAGACGTTCAGAAGTTGACCTGACCTGGCAGTGGAGCACGGCAAAAAAAAAACATTTCTGTTATGACGTTATTTGATATCGGTGGTTATTCGGGAAAAATGCATCGTCTTACCGCTTAGTGCTTGTATGTATGAAGACATCAAAATGCGTTCATATGTATGTAGGCAATGAAACTTTCTGTATGCATATGAACAAGCTATGAAGCGACTCATAAAAGGTTATTTATAGTTGTCATATGAATTGACCACTTTTGCATCTTTATCTTAGCAATTCGTAGGTGCTTGGATGCTTGGCATAGGCAATAGGCAATGCCGAGATATTTCACCCGACTCAATCGACCTCAGGGGCACCAACGACTCAACTTTATTTGTTTTGTTGGGTTAAGTCTAATTAGACTCCTTCGGTCTAATAAGACCATTCCAGAGCAGGAAGGATGATAGGAATTATGGGGAGACATTGATCTGGGCGGGCATCTTGGTGAGTCGTCGGCTGGGTGACCCATCCAGGCCATCCATGCATCCGCCCGACACTCACCACACCCGGCTACGGGCGTGCTCCTATGGGAGCTTCCCGTATGGGATATAAGCTGCCCGTCCAGCCCGGAACAGGGGGTTGAAGTGCAGTGTAGAGAAGGATTTGATTATCCTGAGGATGGAAACGATACCAACGCTGGACGACTCGACCGAATCGTACCCAGACATATGTATAAGACCTCGTGTGCCGCTCACCTGTAGAGGAACTCCACTTGCGGCGCCTGCTGGTAGAACCCCGCCACCCTGACGACGTCGCCTAGACGGTAGCGGAACAGCCCAGACGGGTTCGTGATGAACATCTCGTACTCCTTTCCGACCTCCAGCTGGTGGCCGAGCAGCAGGTCCTGCGGCCGGATGTCTGCCAGCTCGGGGATGTGGTCTCCCACGATCGGCAGAAACTCGTAGTACACCGCGTCAGGGATGAGCGTGTAACGCGGTGGTCCGGGTCGGGTCAGCTCGAGATTGGCGCCCAGAAAACCCTCGGAGGCCATCAGCGAGAAGCTGAAGACGGGAATGTTGGGACCCAGCACGGCTCGGGCCTCTTTGTAGTACATGGCGTTCGTGTTTCCCGACCAGATGCCGCTGATACGGGTCACTTTCGGCCAGACTCTCTGAATCAGGCCGTCGAAACCTTTGGCGAATTCCTTCTCAAGCTCTGCTGCTCTTTCGGGCATCGGAGAAAGGTGGGCGTTGATTTCGGAGCGAAGTTTTTCATCGATGTCTAGATCCTCTTTGATCTGTCCTCTGCGTATATCTTCAACGAGGCTCTTCTGGTTCATCTTAATGCCACGAATCAGAGTCAGAAACTGGAAGATGTATCCGTTCCGGATCATAGAGATGTGCTTGTCCCGAAGGCCGAACAAAGCGTGGATGTAGTTACACACAGACTCGTTCTTCATTGGCAGACTAAGTGGCGGCGTTGTTGTCAGCAGCGTGGTCATCTCATTTAGCTTGGAGTAGATAACACTGGAGACGACACCCACCTTGTGACCGGCCTTAGTTGGCTTGTGAACGAGGGGACTGTTTTTTACGGTCAACATCCTCGTCAGGTCCCACGGGAACCGCTCACGAAGGGCCCACTGATAGGCGCCGAACAGGACCTGATCCTGAAGACTCTTCGCCCCCTCAACTGTTACCGGTATCAATTTGTTCTTGCCCGTCGTTCCGGAGGACGCCGAGAACAAAACTAGCTCGTCCTCATCGCCGAGAAATGCGTTCTTTTCTCCATTCGCCATGCGGTTTATGTACTCTTCAACTTTTGAGAAGTCACACACAGGGAAGTTGCGTCGAAATTCGTCGACGGTTTTGTAGGAGGGGAGATGATAATCTCGTCCGAAGGCTGTGTTTTTGCAGCGCCGTATCCTCTCCAGAAGGAACTCGGACTGCGCCTGTAAGTTACACCACATTGTGTTACTTGGTGTTTTAGAGGAAACAGCTCAGCTTACCAAATACTTACGGGAGCTGAACTGTCCACATTGTAATCGATATAACCGATATAAACGTTACTGTATTCGGTCACTATGATATCGCTTGACAATTGATATTTGTTTGCGATAAAGTTATTGTTGCATGACTGACTGGAATCATTTGTGTCGAGCTCGGAGCTCAGGCACCGCAATGAAAGCCGTGCATTCGGGAAAATATGCTTCACTTTGCGTGAGTTGCTGGTCATCATTGACGATGTGTTTTACTTTCATCAAGAAACGCCCTACCCCGAACGCACAAACATACTCTTATATTATGTATCGGTTGTCATTACGTTATTATGAGCCTTCTATAACCCGCGCCCCACTAGGGGGGGAGGGGCTATAGCCCCCTCCCGTTTTTCTGCAATAAGTTCTAAACTGCTTGAGGTATCGCCGCCAAACTTTCAGTACCTTCGGCTGCATCAATTTGACACCTTGTGTCAAAATTCGGACTTCGTACCTATCATAGGTCGGCCGGAAATGGCGTCAGAGTGACGTCATGTTTGGCCGATTTCGACGCAAAACATTGAAGCACGGCAATCGCTCCCAAAAGCTCAGTTTTTTAGCTAGATCCAATTTCTTTGCATGAGAGGACTCAGAATGGACTGCGCTATCAAACTGTTATCTCGAATTTTCAAAATTTTGAAAATTTTGAAAATAATATTGTTGCAGACGTTCTTCAACTTGACTCTAACTTGACGAATGTCGTTCTAAACCCGTCTCAGACATCGGTTCATTGGTAAACATGACACGCTGAATCGGAAAATTCCACCATGGGTGCTTTGCACCCTCTGTGTGCCCGTCAGGTCATCTTAGGTCGTGAAATGTCTTCATCAGTGTTTGTTTACTACAACTTTTGACAGTGAGGTGCTAGAGCGGTGAAAACACGTCAGATGTGTTCAGCTCAACGATACGGATCGACTGATATGCAGCACGACCCCTTCCGGTCAGGTCATGTCCTTGACCTAAGGTCAAATTTTCAACATGACCTTTAAAGGTCAAATTACAGTTCAATTGACGCGTCTTGACGAGAGGAACACGTTGCTGGCTAAAGTTTATTCGAGGCTCTCTTAGATCAAAAGTTACTACCGAAAAAAAAAAACATTTTTTCGTGACAACGGGCTATTTCTAGGGGTTTTGCCGTCTGGAGGCTAACACATTAACCTGAGGTCAAATCTGAGGATACGGTGGCAAAAGAGCTATCGATGCGCTTTTCCGCGGCACTGTAGCTCTATTAGCCCTCGCCCTGGCAGGGCATTTTTCATAACACGGCCTGGCAGGGGGGGGGGGGGGGTCGATGCGACCCCCCCCCCCTCGCGATTGGCTCCTATGGCACCTAGAAACATCAAATTTGGTAGGTAGGTGGGCCCCCTGGAGTTCTCGCCCCTGTGCAAATTTGGTTGCTCTAGGTCAATATTTAGGGGGTTTTGGGGGGTATAAATGTAAAAATTTCGCTAAAAACAGGTCAAATGTTTTTCGCTTATAACTTTTGATCTAATTAAGATAAAGCAAAAAGAAAAGCACCAGTGAACTCAGCACGTCAAGGCGCGTCGAATGATATACTTTTTAGCTTGCTTAAGTGTACTTAAAGTTTTTCTTAAATTTTAAGTAAACTTAGATTAATAAATTAAGTTCAAGTTAACCAAATTGCGTCATATCGTACATCATTCGATTCGGCTGATCACCAGGAACACAATGATACCATTTTTTAAGCTCTAGCGTCATTATGTGCCAAGTTATTGGCAAAAATGTCATTTGACCTCAGTTGACCTCATTTGACCTGACCCATGGATAAGTACACCAAACAAAGAAGCACCAAGTGACCTGCTGTTAAGTACTGTGGTTTCAAAGCACAAAAATGATAGAACGAAGCGGATATCTCCATTATTTTCCGAATTTAGTATTTTCCCATAGGCTTAACATTACGACGTAATGACCTCTAACTGACCTCAGGTCAGTGACCTCAAAAATCCCGAACTATATGCTATACAACTCGGTGAACTTAGCACATCCTGAAAGTTTGAAGGAAATCAGTGAAAAACTGTGAGTTGGACAGGTGCAAAAAGAAAATTGAAATTTGACCATGACCTTGTACCGGTTTTTCTGACCTGGTGACCTGACCCAAGGTCACCCGGACCTGAAATTTTCAGGTCATATGTAAAAAGGTTGCCCCATAGGCTGTGCCAAATTTGGCGGCGCTGCGCGCCGCCGTTTTTACGCTATCTTCGAAAAACCTTAGGGGGGGGTCGCATCGACCCCCCCCCCCCCTGCCAGAGCGAGGGTTAGTTCCCGAGTTAGCCGTCCGGTGTTTCAAAATTGTTGAAATCGACAAAATTTAAAATTTGATGACCTCTGGTGACATGACCTTTGACCTGACCTTAAAAATTGCTGAAGTGCTTCCGCCATTATTTTTTATGCTCTTTCGAATGCCGCTTCCAGCGTGGAGGGGGGCGTAAAAACACCCCCTCCCCCATCTCTCCGCGGAAAGTTCAGGCCACCAGCACGGCGCGGGCTTATGCTACTGATAGGTAAAACCATAGATAACATGAATGAATAACCATACCGTAAATAACATGATTCATGTTATCTATGGTAAAACGAAAAGGCAGAATGACATCTTCGCCTCTCCCCACCTTTTCAAATTGACGAACATCTCTTTCAAACTTGCGATGCAGCCGGTACGTTTTGATATCGCCAAGCTTGAGTAAAACGTACAATTTAAGTAGCTGTGTCCAGGTCAGTGCCTTGGAATATCCTCGTCGCTGTATGTCCAGTAGTGCCAGAGGAAGCGCGGTACTCAGCGCTGAAGTGAAAAAAAAAATGTTAGCATCGCCTATCTGATTCAAACATTTCGAATAGAAGCTGGCTTCTTGTTATATGTTTCTTTTATCCATAAAAGTATGTTAAACGGAGCATCATGCATTTACCACCAGTGACTACTGACTGCATATACATAGCACGCACTGCCTTCAAAACGAAATAAAAGTCGCACTAGCTCGGCACAACACTCAGAAATGCTAGAGCTGTATCAATTATTCATTTCATAGACATCTAATATTCATGAAAGATCTCTACATCTATCGATCGATAATCGATAATCTCTATCGATTAATCTTACCAGCGACGAAACCCCATAGCAGAATGGAGCAGAGTGCGCACAGGTCCATAGCCGGCCACCGAAGCTGCACCTCTGGGAGTTTCCGATCACAGTGAGCGCCGCGGGCCGACTGAGCCCGCGACAAACTGCGCCTGTCTCAATGATTGTCCATCATTTTCCGATAACTGGAGAGGCAGGCGGACTCTCCACGCTGTGCCGATAACCGAGCGACAGCCGGACTCCCCATATGCTCAGATAGCAGACGGACAGATCAGAGGCTAAAGGCTGTAGACGACGGGAAGTAGGATAGAGCGTCCAAATCTGCAGCCCGTCTTCTCGGTGAAGAGGGGAGGGCCGGTAAGATGGGAGGTTCGACTGATATTATTTCAGCCATGTTGTTATGATACGAGCTATGATGATCAGCAAAATTTGAGATATCTGCTTAGTGCATCATGTAGATGAAGATGTATATCATAAGCAGATGTATATCTGCTTGTATTTGTATTTGTATTTGTATTTGACAATAGCAGACACTCTACAGCAACGCGTAGCTTTTACGTGTCCTTAGTCAGAGATGAATAAAAGAGCAAGGCAATGATGTCGCATAAACACACACACAATGACACACACGCACACACAGTACACACAGTCACGCATACAAGTCATCGCCGAGTAAAAATACGTTTCACAGCTCGTTTAAATGCCGCGGGGTCTAGATTTCTCGCGTCTCCCGGCATGGAGTTGAGGAGACTAGCAGCGCGGTACTGAAAACAGCGCTGCCCCGTCGCTGTGCGCACGGCTGAGAGGCGCAAACAGTTGTCCTGTCTAGTCGAACGCTCATCATTCCTAGTGTCAGCATGGGTATGTAAAAGCATGGCAAGCTCGGCGGGTTCTTGATATAAAATGGCTTTGTGAGCAGCAATCGCTGTCTGCATATCACACATTTGCCGAGGCGTGTGCAGGTGCAGGTCATCCCGCGCGCGAGACACATGGTCGAACTTCTTTAGCCCCGTTACCACTCTCGCGGCAAAATTGACTACTTTAAGCAGTCTAGTCTGCTTGAATTCCAGTAAACGGCCCTTTGGCATTTTGGGCGAGAAACAGGTGAGCGAGACAGTGAGCCCTGCAAGTGCAAAAGTACAATGTGACCACTGGCTGACCTCCGACTGGCTAGTGCGGGCAACCGTTTTAGCCAATTAAAAATGCATTTGGTGTACATTTGATCAAGCTGGTGCATTCGCCAGATAACCCGTCGTGAAAACGGATCTGTCTATTCACTAATTCAGTAGCCCTATGCGTTTGCGCATTGCGTAATACTTAGGTATGGGTGAGGGCCATTTTTTAAAATTTTAATTTAGCTCGAATGTTTGAATGGACGAGCCGGAGCCCAGCTAAGCAGAGCTTGTTGCGTATACCCCGACCCCTACCGTCCGATCGCGCAATTCCGGGTAACGGGAGAATTTAGATGCCAAAGTTTAACGTGCCCTTCAAAGCCGGACACGGCCTGTCCCACTCAACTGACTTCAACTGGCTGCGGCTGTCCCCACCAACCGCAGACCATCCCCGTCAGGAGTCTCAAATATCGAGCGCCGGAGCATCTCGAACCCGGGCTCTCACTACCGGGAGTCCGATGCTCTACCAACTGAGCTACGGGAGGCCATGCTGAAGACAGTGGAGAGAGAGACGCAGGAAAATAGCCCGAGCCATGTATTCAAGCGCCGATGCCAGCGATAATTTTACCCCGAGTCACCACATATCGCCATCATGGCACACTCAGAGATAAGACACGGACAGTCCTAAGATACAAGCAAATATACGATATATATTTATACCCGTAGTGGGAAGCCCAACTTCGGAGTATTTGCACTGTGCACCATATCACTTATCACAGCGGAGTTTCCTGCTGTTAAGGTTCGATAAAAAAACAGCGCTTGGCCTTGACCTAGAGTGGCGGAATTTCAGATGCGACAGCCTTTCCTCGGACGGTTTGAAATCTTATATTGACTTGTGAGTGAGCGCATCAATTGCGAGCGAGTTTTGATGCTAAGGTGACAATTGGGGCATTCCATGTCAACCGGGACAGCCAAAATCAGCCACCTCTGCGATTTTGTTCAAACTTGGTATAATTGTTGGCTATTGAGTGAAACCTCTGAGGGTCAAAGGATTTTGTCATATGCCCTCGGGCTACAGAGATACAAGCCGCTAAACTTCTGCTTTTTTAGCAGAATTGGACGTGTATTGCAATCTTGAAAGATCTATAGCTTGAACATTTTCGAAGCTATTAATTTCAAACAAACTGAACCGTGTACATAAGGAGTTATGCTAGTTAAATCTGGCAATTTTAACATTTTTTGGTGATTTTGTATTTATTTTATTTTGAAATAATTTCTTAAAATCTAATTTGTGAAAAATGCGTACCCTTCGATTTTGCTCAAATTTAGATATTGACTTCCACTACACGTAGGGCATACGTGCTGAGAAAATTAGAGTGGGCCAACGATAACTTTGGACAGGGCCTCGTCTAACATGTTAACTGGGGGGGCAATTGCCTCCCCAGTCGAGCGGATTGCCCCCCCAGTGGCCAACATTTGCCCCCCCAGTCAACACGTGAACTTCTCACAAAATTACCTTATCTGCAATACGTTTTGCTAGGAGTCTTACATGGATTTAACGAGAAACATTAAATGATTTGTTCAAAAGCTGGTAAAATTAAAATATAAACCTACGGGAAAAGCCAGAGTTTTGTGATTTTCAGAGCTGAGAGCGCCAATTAGCAAATTGTCAATTAGCAGAGCTGGCCAGTGACCCAACTCGTGTTTGCCCCCCCCCCCCACACACACACACACACTCAATCAAACGCCCAACACGGATAAGTATGTTTGTCACTGTCTGGTGAGGGGGTAACTGGTAACACAATGTTAACCCGCGCCGGGCCGGTGCTCTGCGACTTCCGCGCCGGACCGGGGGTGTCTGAACCCCCCCCCCCCCCCGTCTAACTCCGCTCCTGGGCCACATAGCGACACGCATTAAGCGGCATTCGAAAGAGCGTCAAAAATGATGACGGAAACACTTCAGTCATGTTTTTAGGAAGGTCAAAGCTGATATCGCCGACGCCAGAGGTCATCAAAGGTCAAATTTTGTCCATTTCAACAATTTTGGAAACTGCCAACGGCTAACTCTGGAACCGATAGAGTTAAAGCGCCGAGCAAAAGCCAATCGATAGCTCTTTTAACGCTCTTTCGCCGGTGTGTCCTCAGATTTGACCTCAGGTCAACGGTTTAGCCTCCAGAGGCCAAAATCTAAAAAATACCCGTTGTTATGAAAAACGTTTTTCTGCAATAACTTTTGACTCAAGGAAGTGACATTTATTTTGAAGGCATCGCGTTCCTCTTGTCGAGACGCGTCGAATGAACTATAATTTGACGTTGAAAGGTCATTTTGAAAATTTGACCTCAGGTCAAGGTCATGACCTGACCGGAAAAGGTCATGTTGCATATCAGTCGATCCGTATCGTCGAGCGGAACACATCTGAGGTGTTTTCATCGCTATAGCATGTCTCTATCAAAAGTTATTGTAAAAAAAAAACTCATGGGACCTTTTATGACCTGATATGACCTCAGGGTCATAAGGAGAGGTCACGGGTGCCATTTTTCGGTTCAGCTTGTCGAGTTTACCTGTAACACAATGCTTGAGAGTGTTTGGAATGACGTTCGTCAAAAAAGGCGCCTTTCATTTTTCTCCTATTGACTTAGGTATAATAGAGAGGTCGCAAAATTGACCTGACCTTAGGTCACCGATATCAAAATTCCGAGATATACATTTTGTATATACTGTTACTCTCATCAATTGCTGAAAGTTTTAAGGTGATCGTTCGGTCGGTGCAGCTATTGACGAGGATTCTAACTTTTTCAGGTGAGGTCACTTGACGTGACCTGGTGACCTGACCTTGAGTGACCTGGGTTTGAAATTTTCACAACACGTGCGGAACAGATGCATGAACAGGTGTGCCAAAAACGATTCTTAGATATCTGCGAAAAACCGCAGGGGGTGTTCAAAAATCCCCCGGCCCGGCGCGGGATAAAAAATCAAATTAAAAAAAGAAAATTGTTAAAAAATTATGGTCTCAGGGCTGTGACGAAAAACAAGTGGCCTAAATCCGATGAGAAAACAGGATTTGGGGGTACCCTAGGTTTGGCTCCTTCAGTCTCTGCCCCCCCAGTGAAAATTCCTTAGACGAGGCCCTGACTTTGGATGATATAGCAACAAGTAGTGCAACGTAGCACGGGCGATGGAAGGGGCTGATTTCGCCAACCCCACCTATTTTTCGCCAATAACTCACGCCTTAATTATTATATTAACGTCAAACTTGCAGCATCTGTCCAGAATTGAATTGCAAATCCTCCCGTGCAAGCAATAGGTAAATCGGTCCACAACTTTTCTAGTAATAGCGATGTAAAGTCAAACATCTTGCCGGAGCGGCGCGGTGGCCGGCGCCAGCCGTTGCCGCCTGAATTGTAGACTGTGCCGGCGCGGGACGGTTCCATCTTTGCACTGCGCTTCTTACCGCTGATTATGATCGATTCGTGTTAAATTTTGTGTGAAGGCTTAAAAATGTACAGGCAATCTAATGGTCAAATAAATACGAAATCAACTGGTAAAAATTGAATTATTAGGGTGCAAACACAATCTGTGACTGAAACGTTTCCCGCGTCGGCCGATCCCCGCCTTTGCCGGCGACATCTTACTCTCAGCAGGCCACTAACTGCCAAATTTATGGTTAGATTAGCTAGAGATTCTCATAACACTACAAATGTCGTATAAAGGAAGAAATAGCAAAATCGGTCAGTAACTCTTAGAGCTATGGGCGTATAAACGCAAAATAGTCACTATATAGCAAATTTCATCACGATTAACCTCATTTGATCTTGAAGATATTGATCTAGGGTCATGAAATTGGCACTTAAAATTCCGTTTTTTTATACCTTTTTTGGCTAAACCAAAGAGCCAAAAACGTTTCTCCCCTAGCGCTGGGAGAGTCAGGCGTATTTCCTTTTTGCAACCAAAGAGAGGCGCTGCCCGGAGAATGCCCAATTGCATCATTAACCCTCGCCCGCACATGGGGGGGTGGTTGCCACCCCCCCCCCCC